GCAGGTTATGTGAAGATATTGCCTACAGTGACCACTGCATCCTTGAAGTAGCCAGAAATAATGTTGTTTGATTGATTCTGTAAAACTTTCCTGTTTAAGCCCCAGACCGCGGTCGTAGGACGCAGGGGGGAGCTGTCTTTTTATTTATTTATGTTAAATTCAATTTACATATATACAACATTTAAAACTCGACTTCAACGACTTCTTATTTCGAGACTATCTGCTAAGACCCCACTTTCTGTCAGACCGAATACTAGAGAATAGTAGGATGGGCCGCTTTTTTCCCTAACTGTTGAGTAAAAAATAATTGGGTTTTAACTCCCCCCCCTTTTTTTTTTCCAAATAGTTTCTTTTTTTTGGTCGCCCCACAATAAAAAAAATTAAATCAGACAAATGCAAACTTTTGGGTTTCCCTATACTCCTGTGGTTTCTTTGACTCATACGCCATCAAATTTTACCCCCAACCGCCCGATCCCATCACTCTCACCCCAAAGAGCCCGCCTCCCCCACCGTTTCGGCCCGGCATGCAAACGCAAACAACGACACATACTTCCCTTCAATGCCACATGATCCGCAAAATCCCAAAAAGTTTGTTTATTTTTAATTTATTGGTCCAGTGCCCATGTACTGGTGGTTTTTTTTTTCTTCCCCTGCCCCTCTTGTCCTGCGGAAACCCTTACCCTCTCACTGTTCCCCCCCCAATCCCATTGCGAAAAAGGTTCCTCCTCTGTCATTTCCACAATTATCCATCCACTGCATTTTTTTTCTGGGGCATCCCCATCGATTAGCCCCGTGAATACTGACCAGATGCAAACCCAAGTTTTGGAAATGCCCTCCCAAATGACTTTTGTTTAACCATCCCGCCAATGGTGGGTTTTTTTTTTTTTTTTTTTTTTATTTTGAATTAATCCTTTTCCACCAGTCCCCGTTTTTTTAGGAAATAAACCTTAAAAATTAAGGGGCCTTATTTCTGAGGCGGATTAATAATCACAAACGAAGAAGACCGTTAATGCCATTTTTTAACGGCATTATTAACCACAACCAATTAAAGGCTGGCTACTTTTCCATGGAATGGTTGGTGTCCCCAACTGTCTCTTGGGTAATGGCAAAAATTTCCTTCACATAATCCTGCCAAGGTATAGGATGACCCATGTCCCCCCATGATCCCTATAATAGGGAATGACCAGAGAACCCGTTTTTCAGACAACAATAACAATTACGTATTGCGCCCATGTTCCAGTTTTTTGAAAACTTCGTAAATTTTTTTTTTGACTTTGGAAAAGACCGAAAATTTTGAGGTTTTTTATTTTAAAAGTCGAAAAATTTTAGACTTTTTCCCTGGTAAAAGGCCCCCTTTTTTTTTTTTTTTTTTTTTACATGGTGCGGGAAACGGCCCCCCTTCCCAATACCATAGCCCCACACACAACATTATTGCCCACTTTCAAACAACAAATACAAATGTACAAAATGGATTTTCACCCTGCCCCCTAAAACCTTGCCCCATAAATTTCCTGATTTATTAAATTATCCTGACCGGAAGGTCTGTCCCGATAGTGGGTCCCTGCAACCAAAAAAAAACTCCTCCCCTATTTCCTTCCAGTGTTTTTCCCTTTTTCTGTGTAAACTTTGGAAATTAGTTTTTTAAAATGTTTAAATTGTATGTTTTGGTGCACGGTTTTTTAAGCATATGAGATTGTGTGGGAGCAACTTTAACAAAAATAAATAACTGCATATTTTTGATCTACACCCTGCCCTTTCCCATCCTATAGATGGCCCAGCTGTAAAAGAAAAAAAAAAAAATAAATTGGCAGAAATTCCATCCATTCACATCCATCCCATTTTTTTTCTACCTTTTAATCAATTTCTGGGTCCCCAGGGGGGTTGGCACATCCAGAAGATGCCAACCCAAGGTCCCCTCCATACCCAACCACCCACCTCATGACCCTCCTGCAGGTATGGGTTGATCCACAGGAAAACGGCTGCCTTTTCTCTGAGTTGGTGAGAAAGCCTTGATTCTTTTTTTCCAAGTGGGGGCTTTTTGGGGGCAACAAGTGGTGTTAAGTGTCTTTTGCCCCCAAGGGACCCAACAATGACAGCAGTCCCCCCCCCATCAAGTGGGGGAAAGGACGGTTGGAAGAAGGTGTCCGAGTTTGAAAAATGAAACCACACCCCTTCCCCAGGCCCCTTAAAGGCCCAAAGGGCCTCCCTAAACCCCAAACCTGGAAACTATAACTGGTCCCCGCCCCCACCCAAATTTATTGCAGATCATGTTGTGAAAAAAATACCTGGATTTTATTAAAGATAAATCGTTGACAATATACGTTATCGTGGAGTTTTTTGGGGGAAAGAAATAACGAGAGTTATTTTTTTTATTTTTTTTCCCCATAACATAGGTTTTTTTTTTTTATTTTTTTTTTATGTTGATACCCGGAAAAAAAACACAAACTTTTTTAAAAATTCATAGGCAATCCTTCTCAGTCCATTTTAATTCCCTGGGTACCCCAAGACAAGAAAACTTAGTAAAAGGTCCCCCCCCCCATAGGAAATTTTAGTAAGATTTTTTTTTTTATTGGATTTTCCTCAAGCTTTTAGGTTTTTTGTTTAAGAACAAAAATCCCTGTCCTTTTTCAATTGTCCCCCAAAGAGAAACGAGTTCCCGTTGGTCAAATCACATACCGGTGCACCCATATTGGTTTGGGGGATTGTCAAAAAAAAGCCTTGCCCCTTCAAAGAGGTATGAATTGAACAGCGGAGAAGAAAAAACTGGAACCAAGCGAATCAAGCCACAGTCCCCCACTTATGATTCACGCAAAATGCACCCCTTCCCCCCTCTCCCCGTTGTAAAACAGTAAAAAAAATTTGCCATCCTGTTTTTTTTGTTGTTTTTTTTTAGCAATGGTCCAAACTTGGAGAATATGTTGTTTTTATGTGTATTAATATGGGAACATAGTTTGTTGGCTTTTTGAAAGACAAGAAGAATGAGGAAAATGGGAGCGACCCTTTTTGTTTTTCCACATGGATTTGCCTATTGAAAATGTAATGGTACATTTTGGCTGTCTGTCCCCACAGGCAGTAACCAGGTGGGCTGGAGTAATTTTATAAAAACTGCTCCCCCGCTCGCCCGGCCTTCCCCCCCTCCAAAAGGAAGGTTCCCTGTAAATTTTGATTCCCCCACCCCCTCTTTAGAGGAGGCCCATTTCCCTGGAAAAATTTTTTGAGTTTTTTTGCAATTTTTTCCCCCCCCCCCCTTCCTCCCAGTTCCGGGTGTAGGGTTTTTTTTGTTTACCTACATGTTTCCCCACTCTAGGTGCAGCACTAAAAAAAACATGTAACAAAAATGACCCCCGAAAAAAAAAACTGAAAAAAAGAGAAGGACCCCTTCTCACCAGCCTCTTAAGTTTACCCCAAATTAATTTGAAAAATGGAACTTCAGAGCACTGCAAAAAGATTAATGTTGTTTTTTAGTGATTGTAAAGAAACCAGCTAATTGTTCCCCCCCCATGGTCCTGATTTGTGTTTAACATTTTATTTTGGTCCCCCCCCGTAACAAATGTAAAAATTCGAAAAAGTGGGGTAGCTTTAATTAAATACTTTTTTTTTTTTTTTTTAACCTTCAAACTTAAATTGGACACAAATTACTGTTTTGACAGTAAATCCCCTAAATATTATAATTCAGAACATTGAACTTATTTTTTCTTAATATATATAGATTTATTTAAATATTAAATATTTATTTATGAAAATCTTTAACAAAAATACCCTACTTAAAATAGAAATGGTAATTTTTCTTTTATGGGCCCCTTATCCTGAAATATTTTTTGTTTAAAAATGAATTTGGAGGAGAATATGATGGCCCATAGCTAAAATGTACGGGTTGTTTTTTTTGTTTTTTCAATTTATTTTTCAACCATGTTTTTTTTTGGGCAAGTTGATGTTTAAAATGCAGTTGTAACAATCGTAAACAACCGGCCCTACCCAAACCTTGTAATTCCTTTTAATTTGTTTTTTGAATTTTTTTTTAAAAAAGCAATTCAAAGAAAAGAACCAAAAAATTGCAAATCTTTTGCGCGAAGGGAAGAATCCCCAATTACGCTAGGCTCATCTACAAGGCGGGTAAAAAAGACAAATAAGGACCCAAGTCCCCGTAGTTTAAATCAAGCCCACAACCAGTTTGGGGTTTGATCACCAAAGGTTGGTTGTTGTGGAGGAAATCACGCCTGAAGGATTACAAACCGACCCTGGAACTCACCTGGGGCCTAGCAACCCAGTGACCCTTGTTAAAATAGCTATCACTCTCCATAAGAAGCAAGCAAATGTTAGCTTTTTACGAAAAAAATAAGCAAAACAACTAAAAATCCCCTAAAACCAGCCTTTCAAACCCCTTGAAACGGGTTTGGATTCCAAAGAATTTTACGGCAACAAATTAACAAACGAACACGAAAAAAAATGGCTTCCAAAAAATTACAATAACAAAAAGTTTTTTTTCCTGAAATGTTGATTTGATTGAAAGGGATTCCACAGAATAATGAAAACAATGTTTCAGCAATTGATGGGTCTAAAAACACATTCCAGTTTTTCGCCCACAATTGATGGTTTTTTCCCTAGCTTTGTAAGAATGATGCCTCATAAGCAAGCTTCACGCCCATGGCAATTTTCCCGTTGGGACCCTAATCCGTCCCCCTGGATAGGGGGAGAACATTCACCAGGGGCTGTCCGTTAACCGTTTTCCACGTGGAAGCCCATGGCTGTTGTTAACCCCCGTAAGGACCATCCTCCGTGGGCGGTTTGGCCGTCCGCCCCGGTTTTTATTTTTTTTTTTTCCACCCTCCTGTTCTCCAACGCCGCAAGAGGACACGCCGCGGTTTTTTTGGGCAAAATGCAATGGATTGCACCCGTTTCCCCTGGGGAGCTTAGCAGTGGGTCCCCTTCCCCCCCCCCCTGACCAGTGGGGGAGGTAGCGGGCTGTCCCTGTGTTGGACTGAAACCGGGAGATAGAAGGCTCAGCCCCCCGTGGGCTTGGAGGAATGTTTCCCCTGGTGGGACGCTTTGGGGGTGGCCTGCTTGAGCTGCCCTTTATGTTTGGCCGCCCTGCTGCTGGCCAGGCTGGAGGAAACAAGCATGAATGGTGTAAATTTATTTTTTTATCAAACTTCTCAATAGAGTTTTTTTTTTTGAATGATGTGTTAAAATTTTAGAGTGCACTTTTCGAATATTGTTGGGGGCTATTAGCCCATAATCTCCTTTTCCCTTAAAGGTTTGGTCCCCGGTAAAAAAAATCCCCTGCAAGGGTGGGGCAACCGCGGTTTTAGTGCCCCTTTTAGGCCTTTTCCCACAACAATAAGGTCCTTGGTACTGCACCAGTTTTTTTTTTTTCCTAACTGTGGGAGGATGATTAAATTAAAGTAAGTAACTAAGAAAATTTTTTTTTAAGTTGCCCCCCTGCAATCCCCAGAAAATAATATAACTACCTAAAAGTGTTTGTTAAAGATTTTTCCCGGGTGTTTTTCATTTTTTGAAACCATGTTTTTACAGATTAATTATGTTTTAAAAAACGGCTTGTTTTTGTCGAAAGTGTCACTTTGTTTTTTCAACTTCCCGCCCCATAAAAACCGCCCTTAGGGGGGGGCCAAAAATGGCGGGCGATGACGTTATAAGGAAGAAGGGGCCATCTCACAAGCCGTCCCCCCCCATGACGGAAACCCTTGTTTAAAAAGGAAAAAAACCTCCCCAGTTTTACCTAAAATGTTAAACCAAAGATTTTTTTGTTTCTAAAAAAAATTAATTATGTTTTTTGCCTAGCCCGCAATCCCCTTTAGGCTGTCCGCTAATGCATATCTCTCGGAAGCCATCGCTTCCACGCCCTGAGAAAAAAGATCAAATAACGATCCCCATCCCCCTCCCAAAACACCTTCCAACCGTCCCTGCTGGGCCGTAGGCCCCAGTCCCCCATAAATACGGTCCCCAGGGCACCCACAAAGCTTTTTTCTTCTGCCTTTTTTCCGAACATCAGCCGAAGAAAGAGAGGGCAGCCCCCTGGCTGGGCCTCGAACCTAAAAAGGGCTTTTCGCAAATAACATATTTCATAGAAACCTTTTAGTTTTGTTAACATTTAAGGTAGAACCCCTGGGTTTTCTAAAATTCCATATGTTTTTTTCCTTCGGCCCTTTATTAAAAAGTCGTTTCCGCCTAAATGCCCATAACATAGCTACGCCCCCCATAGAAACTGATGTAACTTCCCAGCAAGCATGAACTCCGTGATTGGAAGCAAACTCCCGAGGGGGACCCCACCGTTGGCTCCCATAAACCGCCGCAAACCAAGCGTAGAGACGGAGGTCCTAACGAGCCCAGTAGAGAAAAGGGAAATTGGGAAAGGTCCCCACCCCTATCCCCAAGTAGCCCACCGCCCAATTTTCCCCCAAGCCCCTGCAAAGCAGGAAAAGATGTTCAAGAACTAAACCTGGGCAAGAGGCAGGCCCCTCTCCCAAGGAGCGCCCCCTATCCATACGCAGTATAATGCAACCTAATAGGGATTTTTCCATGTAAACCAGTATAATGCAACCTAATAGGTTGCATTATACCACCAGACCAAGACCCAAACGAAGACTCAGACCACCACCAGATAATGACCACAGACCAGGTTTCCTTAGTTACAGGAACCAAATTGTTTCAGCGGTGAGGGGATTTTTCAGTTTCAAGGACACTTTCAATACATTCAGTAGTTTCAAGGATTTCAACTGTTTAAGAATTTAACCAGTTTCAAGGATATCAGGAGGTTCAAGGATTTCAGGAGTTTCCACACTTTCAACAGTTTCCAGGTTTAAAAAAGTTTCAAGGATTTCAAGGAGTTTCAATGTTTCAACAGTTTCAAGGATTTCAGGAGTTTAAAGGTTTCAACAATTTCAAGGACTTCAGGAGTTTCAAATATCTATCAAGTATTTTAACAGTTTCAAGGCCTTTTAAAGGATTTCAAGGATTTTTTTTAGCAGATTTCCACATTAGATCTGTTCCGCAGTCAATCGCAATGGCTTCAGCCATTGCAAGTTTCTAGTTGTAATTGATTGACTGCGGAACCTTCCGCAGTCAACCATTGGTTTTGTATTTCTTTATTCCGTCATTTTTTTTGACACGTTTCACAGCTTTCACATTTTCAACAATTTCCACAAGTTATACATCAAAACGTTCCACATGTTTGGGAGATTATTGCTATTACTTTTGGGACTTCAGCGATTTCCGGTTTTTCCGCAATCGGACAAAAATCTGCATTGAGAATTCTGCAATGCATTTTAATAGGCCCATGCATTTTAATAGGACTTCAGCTCTTTCAGACATTTCTACAGTTTCAATGATTCAACAGTTTCAAGGATTCAACAGTTTCAAGGATTTCAGCAGTTTCAAGATTTCAAGAGTTTCAAGGACTTCAACAGTTTCAAGGACTTCAGCAGTTTCAAGGACTTCAGCAGTTTCAAGGACTTCAGTGTAATCATGCAACCTAATAGGGATTTTTCCATGTAAACCAGTATAATGCAACTTAATAGGGATTTTTCCATGTAAACCAGTATAATGCAACTTAATAGGGTTTTTTCATGTAAACCAGTATAATGCAACTTAATAGGGTTTTTTTTCATGTAAACCAGTATAATGCAACTTAATGGGGATTTTTCCATGTAAACCAGTATAATGCAACTTAATAGGGGTTTTTACATGTAAACCAGTATAATGCAACTTAATAGGGTTTTTTCCATGTAAACCAGTATAATGCAACTTAATAGGGATTTTTCCATGTAAACCAGTACAATGCAACTTAATAGGGATTTTTCCATGTAAACCAGTATAATGCAACTTAATAGGGTTTTTTTCATGTAAACCAGTATAATGCAACTTAATGGGGATTTTTCCATGTAAACCAGTATTATGCAACTTAATAGGGATTTTTCCATGTAAACCAGTATAATGCAACTTAATAGGGTTTTTTTCATGTAAACCAGTATAATGCAACTTAATAGGGTTTTTTTCATGTAAACCAGTATAATGCAACTTAATGGGGATTTTTCCATGTAAACCAGTATAATGCAACTTAATAGGTTTTTTTTTTACATATAAACCAGTATAATGCAACTTCATAGGGTTTTTTCCATGTAAACCAGTATAATGCAACTTAATAGGGATTTTTCCATGTAAACCAGTATAATGCAACTTAATAGGGATTTTTCCATGTAAACCAGTATAATGCAACTTAATGGGGATTTTTCCATGTAAACCAGTATTATGCAACTTAATAGGGATTTTTCCATGTAAACCAGTATAATGCAACTTAATAGGGTTTTTTCATGTAAACCAGTATAATGCAACTTAATAGGGTTTTTACATGTAAACCAGTATAATGGAACTTAATAGGGGTTTTTACATGTAAACAAGTATAATGGAACTTAATAGGGGTTTTTACATGTAAACCAGTATAATGCAACTTAATAAGGATTTTTACATGTAAACCACTATAATGTAACCTAATAGGGGTTTTTACATGTAAACCAGTATAAAGCAACTTAATAGGGATTTGTACATGTAAACCAGTATAATGCAACCTAATAGGGATTTTTCCATGTAAACCAGTATAATGCAACCTAATAGGTTGCATTATACCACCAGACCAAGACCCAAACGAAGACTCAGACCACCACCAGATAATGACCACAGACCAGGTTTCCTTAGTTACAGGAACCAAATTGTTTCAGCGGTGAGGGGATTTTTCAGTTTCAAGGACACTTTCAATACATTCAGTAGTTTCAAGGATTTCAACTGTTTAAGAATTTAACCAGTTTCAAGGATATCAGGAGGTTCAAGGATTTCAGGAGTTTCCACACTTTCAACAGTTTCCAGGTTTAAAAAAGTTTCAAGGATTTCAGGAGTTTCAATGTTTCAACAGTTTCAAGGATTTCAGGAGTTTAAAGGTTTCAACAATTTCAAGGACTTCAGGAGTTTCAAATATCTATCAAGTATTCTAACAGTTTCAAGGCCTTTTAAAGGATTTCAAGGATTTTTTTTAGCAGATTTCCACATTAGATCTGTTCCGCAGTCAATCGCAATGGCTTCAGCCATTGCAAGTTTCTAGTTACAATATATTATTGTATAATAGATTGTATATTGAATACAGCTCAAATGAATTCTTCAAAGATATACAGTGTATTTTGATATGAAATATAAGTGGATCAAGCAACGAGTAAACTTTTTGACAGAATATTAGTGAGAGTAGCTTTACTTGAGGCGATATGGAGCGTCAACACTTTGGCTCTGTCCTCGTCAAAATATTGCAAAAGGACGATAAAATTCTGTCCACATTTGTTTGTGGACACGTCAATATTTAAGAAAAAGGTTTCCCTATCAAGTTTGAGTGCACAGTGCACTTCGATCAACTGCAAATGATTTAAATAAATGTACCAGCGGTAGTGATATTCTGAACGTTATTTTCTGCGATAAAGCCACAGACACGGTCCGCCAGAGCAAGCCTAGTGTTAGTTGTTGCTGATGCACCAGGTAAAGATGAAGTGTGGGAAAGTGCACAAACAGCTGCCTTGTGCACAGTTTTGAGCTGGTGGCGAATCAAAACTTTTTTCTCATTACTCCCATACATGCAATTTTTTATGGCAAAGTACGCACAAGCACCGGCCACTTTCATCTTTTCGCACCATGACTCATTGATTGGCTCTTTTACATCACGCTGAGTTTTGCAAGAAGATCGCAAACAAGACAATATCAAAAGCTCACCAAGACATGTTTGTCCCCATTCCCAGTTGCAGCAAAGTCCGTTTTGTACATTCCGTTAAGTAAAATAGCATTGCGTTTGGTAAACGTTAATTACCTTTCCTCTATTACGCGCCCAGCTTACCAGTCCGCGGATCTGCTGCTGTTATTGCTCCGTTCGAGATTCAATTTTCCTCCTCTTCTCCTTTTCAAAAGCTCCGTGCAGTTTCCAGAAACTTTCACCTCTGTGTTACCAATGCTAACTTCATCGCGTCTTCATTTGCGCGTGAGCTCAGCTACGTCCCATTACCTTGATTCATTTGCGGAGCGCTCATGTGGCCACGGCACGTTCAATGCCCACTCGTGATTATATTACTTATTATTTCTATATACATATAAATACAATTATATTCAAATTATTATTATACATCGATATATATATATATATATATATATATATATATATATATATATATATATATATAACAGATTCACACGTATATGTATTACTATATATTATTTTTATAATCAATCATTTCTTTGTGTGTATTATTATCATTATATATATATATATATTTTTTTTCCAGACCAATTTCATTTGACGGAAATCCGTCACCTAGACGGAACTCTTTAATCCCTGCCCTAGGAAGACTAGTTGACACTGGTTGACAACTAATGGGGAAGCATACCAATTAAACCAAAATAAATCTTCTCTTAACTATGTTAACAATAATGTTGGGTGTAGGTCTGGATAATATGCTTTTTTTGCTTCAGGATATAATAGCAAAAAGAAATCTTCTGAGAGGCAACATTAGTTGATTATTTTGTTGATTAAAAGTCTCTGTAGTATCTTTACCTGCATTCACAACAGCATCTATCTCCAGAGTGGTGATGTCTCCACTGAAAACTGAGATTTTCCTGTCTAACTTAGGGTTACGAGGGTATTTGCTTTGCTCTGCGCCTGTGAAGACAAATTTACAAATTCAAGCTATAACGGTAAAATACATTTCCCAGATCAACGTGGTAATTTACCTGCAGCAGGAGTCCACACTGGGATGTCATCCAGTGGCACATATTTTGAGGTTCGATAATATGGACGTTTATCCTCCAACGACAGCAAGAAATCTGAAAGAGAAGTGTGGACAAAAAAGCATTTAAATAACAAAGCAAGTGCATCAAAGCACTCTTCTGATCAATGTAGGAAAAATACAATTACAGGAAAGGTGCAAGGTACTTTTTCAGGATCTCAAGAGGCACATCCCAATTCTGAATAATAAATATTATTTATGAATCTACAAACACATTTTGACATCTTTGTCATATTAGCACTGCTCGCACACTTTCTTTTTTAATTACCGGTACTTCTACATTTTGTCCACCTTTTCTGTTGGTCAGTCCAACTTAAGGGGAGCCAAAGCACTCATTTTGGATGTTTTTATTGTACTTCTGTTATCCTCTTTTTCCTTGAAAATGTTGTTCCAATTGGTTCTTCCAAGGACAAGGTCTCTTTACCAAAATATACAAATATTTAAAGCAGAGTTATTCTTTCATAATGTTTATGTTTATAATGATCAAACAGATCATCCAATCAGAGAGCGGAAGGAGGCTCTCTTTTTGGTTGCCAGTTTGTTAGGTGAAATTTAGCTGGTCTTGGCTCCATAATTTTTGAACAAAATTCACAAATTAAAAAAATAGCAGCACACATCTGTTTAAATTAAAGCAGATACAAACATAGGTAATCTTATGCAATACACAGAATTTCGGGGGTTGGGATCAGTAATGAGTGCTTAGGAACTACATATGTCACAGGCAGGGAGATTCTGGCAACAAAAGTTGGATTGTAATTGTAATAACTTTATTATACCACTAGGAGTGCATATTACATACTCATAGACTGTAAATATCACATGTCATTTCCCCCTTGTTTAACTTAATCCTTGTTTGCTCATGCTTTCTATGGCTTTGGCAATTATGATACATGGGCTGTGGACATAGCGGTTCAAACAAAAAGTGGATAATTCTTGCCAATAAAATTTTCATGAGAGTAGTACCATGCATGAAGTCTACTGTCGCTTTTTTCTCTCACCCTTTGATGCTTTCCAGTCCCCTTCAGCGGAGTTTAAGTCCACTTTCAGGGGCATGGCAGCGAATGTCCCCGTGTGGAGTGACTGGATCAGGGCTGCAGAGCTGACCCCCACAGCGGTACCAAGGACCACTGGGGCCAGTCTATGCCCCCTCCCGCGTTGCCACAGTCCCCATTTGTGGTATAATACCTCGTTTGGGCGGTGGATCACACGTGGATTTGTTTTCAGATGCGTGGAGGCTTTAGAAGTCAACATGTGAAGGAACTTGACACCAATCCTCACAGAAGCCGCGCAATGTGACGCTGAAGCAGGGACCAGCACCATGCCGAACAAGTCAAGGGCCCCTAAGGTTTACTCAGCAGGCTATAAGAGTACGTCTTTCTACTTACAACTTGGACCTATTGTAATATCTATGACACACAATTTCACTTTCTGTTTCTAGTCAAGCAGCGGTTGTTTGTTTTTGGTGGGCTGTACCAAGTCGTTGCAAGGGGAAATCTACAACTTAAACGAATCCCTATAGTGCTCAGTTCTCTATCAAATGTTATTTATTTTTTCAGAAATGCTTTATACATATGAACTTTAACTTATGTATTAAATTTAAATTGGTACCGTTTGGTGTCAGTCCATGTGCTCGGCAGATGGAACAGACTGATGTTTAGTTCAGTGGCCATGGGAAATTTATGAGATTTAAATTGTGGCAATTAATAGTTTGCGGCAGAGTAGTACAATAACAATTGTCACCTTGTTTTAGACTTTCAATGTACCACACGGTTTTTTAATGAATCCAATATGTGCAAATTACAGTTACAGTTACAGTTGTAGCACGCAAAAAACACCAAATGTGTAACATTACAGGGTGTTATAATTTACAGTTATTCATAGAAAATGTGTTTTATATATTTATCATGTTTTTGTTTTTTAATTTTAATTTGTTTTTTCAATAGAGGCCTAACACATTTTTACCACAGCAGGGCTGCTGAAGTAGTAAGTAGTATTCTGCTAAATTTAGATTTAAGAATTCGATTGGTAGATTTCATGAAATGAGAATTTAGAATAAATAAATATAATTAAAGTTGGAAATTGATTATTCATATAATAATATATAATAGAACCTTCAAAGAAAGTACTCATCATCAATCATTTCACCACTACAAAAAGAACCATGGGTACTTTTAGATAGAAAAACAACAAGTGGGGTCTTCACTAGGTAATATCTCTGTAGAATTTTGGGACTGTAAAGCACTTTGTAAAGGTTGGTTGATTGATTGCTTGATCATTTAAAGTTAACATGATTTCACCTTGTTTCTAAATAACTGGTTTGCAAAATAAGCCTCTTTGAATGACCTCAAACTTGATATTGATTATATATTGTAGACATTATATATTGTACATGTTCTATCTACAGACCTCAATATTTTGTTTCCTTAATAAAGATAAATGATAACATTGGAACAAAGACTCTGTAGTATCAGAGGAAGTTGAAATATTTTCAATGGTAAACACAGCACTAATATTGCAGAGTACAAATAAGAATTAGTTACACATTGTGTCGAATAAATTACAAACATGAATGATAATAATAATAAGATTTCATGCAATTATAGCAACCAATATTATTTCACACCCCTTGTACTTTTAATTTTCGAAGGGTAGAATAGTATGAGTATTTTTTGCCAAGCGTTGAAAATCCAGCTTTAGTCTTGAGTTTTAGTTTGGCAGGAATGTCTATGATAGTTTATCAGTAACTATAGTTCCTTCCACATTGCTGTGACAAGCATATGCTAATGCATGTCCATATGTCAGCCTCATGACTGTCAGTCAAAAGTGGAGACCTTAACACATTTCCGCCTGACGGAAACTGACACGCAAAAAAAGGAACAAGCCTTTGTGACAAAACTGAGAGGCACAGGCCACAAGCAGCATCAAGGGAGTTACAACAACTTTTACATTATACCAAGCACTCTTTAAGTGCCTCAAAGTGTCTGACTGTTGACTCCCAGGATTAACAACTCCAACAAGTGTGTGAGTATAAGATCATGGGAGAGGGGAGGACACATGGCAGGACACGCTTCAACTTAATCTGCTTTGTGAACCAGTTATGAATTACCATGATTATTGTGTTTGCCTATATGCTCATTGTGCCACTATATGTCCACCAATAGATCATATAGGTCTACAAGTTTCAGAATGTGTGAATAATAAAAAGATAACGGTCAAAAGAAGCAAGGGCGTTGTTGGGTTATACATAGTTGGTCAGAAAGAGGAAGAGTATTATTGAGCTCAGTTGTGAGTGTCTGTCAGAATGTAGTGGATATGTTCATATTAACATTGAAATAGCTCATTAGTCATTTTTTACTTGTGTGTGGTTCATTATCAGGATGGCAGCGTGGGACTTGTCAGTCACGGTGGAAGACTTGGGGGCAGATGCCCCTCCTGTCACTCTCAGTGTGACCTCAGACCTACATGTAGGTGGGGTCATTCTGAAGCTAGTTGAAAAGACACGTGAGTCACTGTTTGTAACATTTCTATGCATTTATAATGTGTATATCAATGGATGATAAAATATATAAATTAAAAGAAGTAGACACTTTTAGCAATAATTGATCTGATTTTGAATGTGTTATAATAAATACATTTAAAAATTTTACAAACTACCCATATAGATGGAGGAAAATTACCATTTTCTGTATTGTAATTTCCCTGAAATGGAAAAAAGGCAGTATAATTTGGTAGTGGAGAAAATAGTCATGTGTTTTTATTATCACTAGTCTTGTCCAATGGATGGGGATGGAATATACGTACATGACTTTAAGAAACTCATGTGGAATATACAGTGCCTTGCGAAAGTATTCGGCCCCCTTGAACCTTTCAAAATTTTGCCACATTTCAGTCTTCAAACATAAAGATATAACATTTTGATTTTTTTGTCATGAATCAACAACAAGTGGGACACAATCGTGAAGTGGAATGAAATGTATTGGATAATTTAAACTTTTTTTAAAAATAAACTGAAAAGTGGGGCGTGCAATATTATTCGGCCCCTTTACTTTCAGTGCAGCAAACTCACTCCAATCTTTGAATGATCCAATGTTGTCCTAAATGACTGATGATGATAAATAGAATGCACCCGTGTGTAATCAAGCCTCCGTATAAATGCACCTGCTCTTTGATAGTCTCAGGGTTCTGTTTAAAGCGCAGAGAGAACCATGAAGACAAAGGAACACACCAGGCAGGTCCGAGATACTGTTGTGGTGAAGTTTAAAGCCGGATTTGGATACAAAAAGATTTCCCAAGCTTTAAACATCTCAAGGAGCACTGTGCAAGCAATTATATTGAAATGGAAGGAGTATCAGACCACTGCAAATCTACCAAGACCCGGCCGTCCCTCCAAACTTTCATCTCAAACAAGGAGAAGACTGATCAGAGATGCAGTCAAGAGGCCCATGATCACTCTGGATGAACTGCAGATAACTACAGCTGAGGTGGGAGAGTCTGTCCAAATCCGGCCTTTATGGAAGAGTGGCCATTTCTCAAAGATATCCAATAAAAGTCTCTTAAAGTTTGCCACAAGCCACCTGGGAGACACACCAAACATGTGGAAGAAGGTGCTCTGGTCAGATGAAACCAAAATCAAACTTTTTGGCCACACTGTAAAACGATATGTTTGGCGTAAAAGCAACACAGCTCATCACCCTGAACACACCATCCCCACCTCAGCTGTAGTTATCTGCAGTTCATCCAGAGTGATCATGGGCCTCTTGGCTGATTACACACAGGTGCATTCTATTTATCATCATCAGTCATTTAGGACAACATTGGATCATTCAAAGATCCTCACTGAACTTCTGGAGTGAGTTTGCTGCACTGAAAGTAAAGGGGCCGAATAATATTGCACGCCCCACTTTTCAGTTTTTTATTTGTTAAAGTTTAAATTATCCAACAAATTTTGTTCCACTTCACGATTGTGTCCCACTTGTTGTTGATTCATGACAAAAAATTAAAATTTTATATCTTTATGTTTGAAGCCTGAAATGTGGCGAAAGGTTGAAGGGGGCCGAATACTTTCGCAAGGTACTGTAATATTATATAATATGATGTAATATAATAATAACTAAATTGCCGAGTTTTATGTGGGACAATGTTTTGTTTGCTGCAGAGATCCAACAGGACTGGTCAGATCATGCACTTTGGTGGGAGCAGAAGCAGATGTGGCTGCTGCGGACTTCCTGGGCTCTGGACAAGTATGGGATCCACGCTGATGCTCGACTTTTCTTCTTGCCCCAACACAAGCCTCTCAAGCTGGGCCTGCCCAACGGCAAAACTCTGAAGCTACGGGCATCCTTCTCCAGTCCAGTCTTCCAAACTGTCATTGCCATCTGCAGGACACTCAGTAAGTTCACACGACAATGGTAAGCCACACTTATGCTTTCCTTTATGAGTTCTGGTTTTCCAACGGACATCACCGGAAAGATGAAAACCATGAAGCTATGATTTTAACTTGACTCACTCAGATATTTGTATAAAAACTTAATACAACCTTTTAAATGAATAAAAGATTTCACACAATGAAAAAGATGAAACGTACTGTTAGAATATTTAATTTTATGGAGAACAAAAATTTGTGATGTCCTTTTTTTCTCTCTGAAAAGGCATCCGTCATCCAGAGGAGCTCTCGTTGCTGCGTCCAATTGAAGAGAAAAGGAAAAAGAAGGACAAGGACACAAGAGAAGAGCTCTATGACTTAACTGACGTGCCACATACTTCAGGTAAATCATAATTATTTCATATAACTTTTAGATTAATTTTAATTCCCTTAAAGGTGATGTTAAAAGTAACTAACTTTTACAGATGAGATAATGTAGGTCCATCAAAAGAAAAGTGTGTAAAAACTTGTGAATAAACTTACAGCATCTCGACCATGCATGTACAATGGTATGCCAGCTCACTTCATGGACTCGGCTCAGATGGAGGTGGTCTACAAGATGCTGTCGGTGACCCAGCCTCCTCCAGCCCCTGAAGTGGTGTCAAAGCAGTACCGCCCGGCCAGTGTTGTGGATAAGGCACACATCAATGGCAGGTATGTGTTTTGGCAAAGTTGTATCACTTATTGGAATATATGCGAGACTTACTGTGTGTGTCTAGGTGGCTGGACTCCTCTCGTAGTCTTATGCAGCAGGGGATCCAAGAAAATGATCGACTCTGGCTTCGCTTTAAATACTTTGCTTTTTATGATATTGAGCCTAAGGTATTGTCTTGGATTATCTTTGGTAGATAAATTATGCATGGAAACTAACTACTGTATTTGAGATGCAGACAAAGTTTTCTAAATCTTGAGCACAAAACTGTACATAACAGAGACTAAACTCTTGTAACACTTTCATACATAGTTCCAGTAGAAACTGCTGGAAATATCGAATAATGAATCATGTAGTATAACCAACAATTATAATTTTTTTTTATAAAAAATAAAATTAATTTAATTCAATTAATTGTATTAACTCTTTGGCACCATCATAATGTGAGTAAATAACAAACATGCTTTATTCTAGATAATAGAAAGATAGTAACAAGTACTGGCATTCAAACACAATGTATTGGTTCTGAATGCTACATGCGACCCAGTTGTGACAAAAGTCTTGCAAAAATTCAAAGCTGCATAAGCCCATGGGTTAATAAATATTTACAGTCTATGGTTATTACACCTCCATGTTTACCTTTGCAGTATGATGTGGTCCGCTTAACGCAGATGTATGAGCAAGCTCGATGGGCCATCCTATTGGAGGACATTGACTGTACAGAAGAGGAGATGATGCTGTTTGCTGCTCTACAAGTACAATGAAGCTACTACTATACCACCACAATAACCACTACAATTGTGACTAACATTCTTCTTCTTTTAAATAGTACCACATCAGTAAAGTTGCACCGTCTGAGCAGCAGCTGCTGGCCTCCACCACTGCCATGGACAATCTGGAGTCTGCTCTCCAGTCTTTGGAAGTGAAGTTAGAAGGAGAGAATAGCTCTGCTTCTGAAATGCTGGTGAGAAACCTGATATCTCTGTTTGTTTCTATTTGTATGCAGTTAAAGTAAATTAATGTAACTCAGCACAGCTGTATTAATGTTTTTCAGGACAATATGACAGCACCAGAGCTATGTGATTATCTAAAAATATTCAGGTAAGAACAATAGATACTAACAATAACAATGATGGAAGTCACAACATACAAAAGTAAATTCATGGGTCTCAGGTATATTATACAGAGTTTACAACACACGCTATCTTTGCAGTTAGTGGTTTTAAAACTAATGTGACATACATTTTTGGCTCCTGCATCTCTACTATTCTTCATAAACATAAAAAAATAAACATAAATGTTTATTTTTCCACCAATGTTATCAACTTAGACAGAAAAATTCATACTTTTTTTTAACATTTTAATTGTACTTTTCCTAAATATTGCAGACCTAAAAGACTGACTCTTAAGGGATATAAGATGTACTGGGTTAAGTTTCAGGACACATCGATTTCATATTTCAAAAGTAAAGAAGAGTGCTTTGGAGAACCCATTCAACAAATTAACCTCAAAGGTATGATATTTGTGTGTGTGTGTGTAACATTTTCTCTTCAGTACAATTAATTGTGGAGGAAGCAAATAATTACACTATTTGACAGATTAGAAAAATGTGGCTTTGTTCTAAGGATGTGAAGTGGCTCCAGATGTGAATGTTGCAGCTAGCAAGTTTCTTATTCGGCTTTTGGTCCCATCACCAGAGGGCATGAATGAGGTCTACCTGCGCTGTGAAGATGTACAGTCTGCATATTTTTCTGTAATGTTCATATTTAGCCTCAGTCTTTACTTTAAAATCTCTGTTTTCTGTAGGAGCAGCAGTATGCACAATGGATGGCTGCATGTCGGCTTGCCTCTAAAGGAAAGAGCCTGGCCGACAGCAGCTACCAGGGTGAAATCCAAAGCATCTGCTCTTTTCTGTCGATGCAAAAGACAAACTCGAACGGTAAAACCTCCTCTACAGATGACAGCATCAATACATACAGCCTCGTCTCCCCACGTTACCATAAGAAATACAAAGCAAAGCAGGTAAACTAAGTAACTGCTTTCACTATATCAGCTGACTTGGATGTTTTAACTTTATTGTGTGATGTTTTATGCTAATATGCAGCTGACTCCTCGAATCCTTGATGCATATCAGAATGTGTCTCTCCTCACACTGACCGATGCAGTCTTGAGGTTTCTGCAAATTTGGCAGTCACTCCCAGACTTTGGTCTGTCATATGTCGTGGTCAGGTATACTCCATTTCATAGATATTCGTTTTCTCCCCAATGACTCAATTAACAATATTTTTTGGTGTTTAAAATGTCAGGTTCAAGGGTAGTAGGAAAGATGAGGTTTTGGGCATTGCACCAAACAAACTGATAAGGATAGACCTGGGAGTTGGAGATGTGGTCAAGACATGGCGTTATAACAACATGAAGCAGTGGAATGTAAACTGGGATATTAAGCAGGTAACACACAAGAAACTTTTTTATAAATAACTTTTCACATGTTTTTTTTATTTATCTATGTATTTATTTTATTTAGATGGCTATTGAATTTGAAGGAAACATTAATATCGCATTCAGCTGTATTACCGCAGACTGCAAAATTGTTCATGAGTTTATTGGGGGTTATATCTACATGTCAACACGCAACCGTGAGAAGGGCAACACGCTGAATGAGGAGCTCTTTCATAAATTGACTGGAGGCCATGAAGCCCTCTAGAAGTGACTTCACAGAATGACCAATGCCAACACGAGTTCAGAGTTACGTACTCAAAGATGGACACAATTTGCAGTCTATGACACAAATGCATATCTACAAGTTTATTGTTATTGTATTTACATGATATTGTGTGTAAACTATCCAACTTGTATTAAAGCAATTATAACCCAGCTTAAAAAACTATGTTTTTTTTGGGTTTTTTTTAGTTTATTGTTTATAAAAACCGGGACAATGTACAAAAACCATTAGTCTTTACAAAAGAAGAGATGGTTTGCACCAGATTTCGCTGCAGCTACTTTCCGTCTAGTCCCTGGGCAAGTGAACACACATAGATACATCACAAATGTAAAAGCAAACACTTGTTCACTTTTTTGTTCAGTAACGCTCTTTGAATCTTGTTTTTGAAGCTATTTTTATAACAGGAAATTTCCGGTCAATTATCTTGAACCACAAGCAGGTTATCAAAGAAGACATTGTGTTTATTTTCCTTCTGTTTCCCATTTATGTCCCAATAAAATTGGCAAGAGTGGAGGCCTTTTTAACCCGCAAAAGATGGGTTTGAACAGATATTTATCCATCTATTCGGTTTTCATGATAATGGAAGCAGGGTCCCTAAAACAAAACACCAATAATAAAAAATAGTCAAAATGTTATCGTAATTTCACAAAATTGTATTACTTGTGGGCCTCAGCCTTAAAGCACGGCTGAAGTATTTGGGTAGAAGCTTTCCCTCCGTGTCCCCAGGTGTTAGCAACACTCCATTGTCTGACCAGAAGAACTGAAGGCCATCTGCACGCAAACACAAAGGACAAGCTTTCAGAATAGAGAAGGTGTGGAGGAGTCATGTGTATTACACATAATCATTTACCGGACAGAGCTTTTGTGACATCAATAAATATAGCAAGGTCACAATCTTTTCTCATACCTAAAGAGGAATAAAAGCACAGACAATGGTTTCATCTGACATATAGACCATCAAGGATATGAACAGTACATTGAAAAACTTGCCACTAATGACACCCTTCTCTCCTGGAAGCCCTGGTGCCAGATGAATATGGGTTCTCTTCATCCGGGTTAAACCATGCTGCTGTATAGACGTCCAATTTTGGAGGTAAGAGCCATGGACAGCCTCCGGAGGGCAGTCTGGGGAACCAGCTAGTACAGGCCGGAGCTCAAGATCATTTACCTAACCATCATCACAATTATGATGTAATATTTGACATTTTAATGAGTTGCAGAAGTTGTCAAAAATATGACATAAAATCCCTCCCATAACTCTTTGTTTCTCTATTGAAGTTTCAGTTACCCCCTTTCAACATTTATCTGAAAATGAAGTTGAGTGCGAATAGTACCTGGACAGAATGGCCTTGATTAGCACGGATTTGCAACCTTGCGTTTTCTGGATGGAACTGTAGCTTGAATCGCTGTTTGTCATTTGATTCTACAACTCTTTTGACATCATCCAAACACCAGGAAGAAAACTGGGGTTGAGCAAGAATGTCCTCCACATAGATGAATCCATCTGAGCAAGAACATGAGAAACATGTCATTCAAGTGGGATAAGATAAACTTAAAAACATGACACTGTGCCTCATACACTTCACCTGTACTCATTTGTAACCCCATCTTACTGGCTCCATGACGAAGAACGTACGATAAAGACTTGGACAGTTGAACATCTCTGTCCTGCAGGAATACAACATTACAGAAGCCTTTTATCTAGATATAAACTTCAATAATGTCGCTTATGAAAACAATACAAGACTGTGGTGGACAGAAGCTTTAGTGGCATTACCTCACAGTAGTACTGAGAATATTCAAATACACATAAACAATTCAACTAAAAGAAAGTGTAAGATACAGGCTGGAATAATATAAGGAGAAGAAGGTATAATATATTCAGTGACTATATTACCATTACTGTCCTCTGATAGCATACTGTATGACAGCACACAGTCAAAGCTAGCTCCGATTTGGACTTTTACCTCCGCACTATGTTTTCCTCTTCTTCCTTTTCTTCTGTCACTGCTCATTTAAAAGTGTGGAATTTACCGGAATATATAATATGGGGTTCTGTCGAAACAGACAGTGAAAATTCTGTGATTATTTATAAGCTAAAAATATAGTGGAGTTTGTTTGCACTGTCCCACTGTAAACATGCTAGCTGTAATACCCGGCTCTGCACTGTTGGTGGCGCTGTAGTTTTGTGTCAGACCATCGTCAACGCCAACAAAGGACAAATCAAAACATCCGTCGAGGCGGGCAAACAGCTGTGGTGAGAATGAAGATGGTTATTATAGGTGTTTCAATCATAGACTGTAAACATGTCAAGACACTGTAGTGTCAAATGTCCGCTTAATTTGTAGTTAACGTTATACTGTATACACTACCTGTAATATTCAGAAGCTATTTCGCTACAGGTTTTATATATACGTGGCTAATGCTAGCCTCACGTATGTTCTCTGTTTACTTCATCGTATTTTAGTTTGACATTTTTAAGATGTATCAGCTCCTTGAGATTAATCTTATTTATCCCTCGCATAATCTCTACTGCATCAATTGACAGTCCAAGCTGCATCTCATACGATTATTGATCGCCTGCATTTCTTTTATATTCTGTTTTTTTCAGATGATGGACTTTCCACAACATTCGCAGCAGCTGTTGTCTGCTCTGCGCTCCCAGCGCCAACGTGGATTCCTCTGTGACTGCACTGTGCTGGTGGGGAACTCGCGCTTTGTGGCTCACCGTGCAGTACTGGCCTCATGTTCACCCTTCTTTCATATGTTCTACTCGGACCCCCCGGGAAATAGTGAACATAGCACTGATGGCTCTGTTACTCTTGATAGTGACATTGTCACAGCCCCTGCTTTTAGTATACTCTTAGACTTTGTGTATGAAGGTGTATTAAAGGTGGAGGAATCCCCTCCTGTTGAGGATTTACTGGCAGCTGCCAGTTTCCTTCACATGAATGAAGTGGTGAGAGTGTGTAAGAAAAGACTACAAAGACGTGGCCCAGTAGCAGAGGCAGACAGCACACGTCCTGAAGAAAGCTCTGGCGTTACAAAGGCAATGGGGAGAAAAGCAGTTGAGGGTGCATCTCATGGACAATTACAAAATATAGTCAACGTGAGAGTGCCTCATTCACTTGTTTTGCATCCAATAGATAACAGTCAAGAGAGTCACATTAAGATAGAGCACAGGAGTGTAGAGTGGGCATGTGAAGGAGAAGGTGAACATTCTCAAAGCCCTGATCTCGCTGATACCACACAACCAGGCATGGGCATCTCGCATTTGGCTTCCAACCACCAACGTTTAGTTCCACATATACTCTCTGCTGAAAGTCAAGTCGTTGGAACTGTGAGTGAAGGAGCAAGTCCTTGTAGCACCACAGAGACACAAAGGTAACATGAAAGTTTTGTTACAAAATGAGTTGAAATTATTTTCATTTTGGTTTATCTTTCTTATAGCCAACAACCTTCCTCGTCCTCTCCATTGATTCCAGCGACTAAGGGATCCGGATGTTCGGCAGTTTGGCTTCCTGGATCAGAACTATCACATAGTACCAATGATACCACAGACAGACCATCGCAAGACAATGAAAAATGTAAGAAACTGTCAGAGACTGGTGACAGAAGCGTGTGTTGGGGAAAGCAGATATCTCCAACAGTTTCCTCAAATTGTGCGACCACAATGCCTTCACAGCAGAATCAAACACTTCAAATTCAAAACATAATGTTAGAGCAACATTTATGCTCAGAGATTCACATTGCTACTGTATCAAAACATCTGACTGGTCCTCAAGAAGATTCAGATAATGTATTGCGTATAAAAGACCCAAATATAGAGGGAAGCCTAACTGGTGATAATGTAAACATAAAAGTGGAGGCTATCATAATTTCTGATGAAGAGCAAGAAGAGGAGAAAGATGTGCAAGAGGTTGTGATGGAGGATGACCATGAAGAACTTGGATCTCAATATAGCTCTACAGCTGACTTTCATCTCACAGACTATTCATTCCCTCTTTCCCCATCCGAGGCTGGCCCATCCTCACAAGGTGGTATTTCTTTTACAACAGACCAATCTGAAAGTGCAGTATACTTTCAGGGATGTCAGGACTCCATGGGGAACTTTGTGGAAGATGTTCCGACATGTAGCGAGTGTGGAAAGACCTTCTCTTGTTCTTACACACTCAGGCGTCACGCAATTGTACATACACGGGAAAGACCTTACGAGTGCCGTTACTGCTACAGGAGTTACACGCAGTCTGGTGATTTGTACAGACATATTCGAAAAACCCATGACCACACACTACCAGCCAAGCGCAGTAAGGCAGAGACTGGCTGCATGGACACAAATATGACCCAACCACCACCACCACCACCAGCTATGAGCTAACATTGAACAGGTTGCTACATGATCTCGCTGTTACCAATGTTCTCCATAAAGAGTTGAGTTTCAGTGCAGAAGGCCATCATTATCAAACCAGACATGCAAGTGAGGGTAAGTTCAATCTGCCCAAAGTAAAAACAAATTATGGAAAGAATACCATCACATACAGATCCATGTGTGTTTGGAACAGTCTGCCCTCCGATATCATGAACGAAAATAATAAATATCAATTCAAATTGAAATAGAAAAGACTTTTCCTAAACATTGGCGCAGTGGATGCTTAAATGTTGTAATACCTAAATGTGTATTTCATGTTTTCTTTGTCATGGATATTACATTTAAATATTACATTTAAATGTTACATTTAAATCTTGCTGTCCACTGTTACTGAGATTGCATTCATACTAACCAGGTCCTCCGTGTGTGTGAAAGTGAGTGGATGTTTATGTAAGTTGAATTTTTGTTAGTATTATTTGTTTTGTTGTATTCTGTGTTGTTTTTGTTTTTAATGTAATAATTTCTGTTTCTCACATGTGACGCCAAGGAGCGAATTTTTTTTTTCAAAATGTATGTGAGACAACGACTCCAGGAAGAATAGCTGTTTTTATACAGCTAATGGAGATTGTAATAAATACAAATACATAATGTTTATGTATCACAGAATGATCTACATGACTTTTGAGATTATACATTTAAAACTAAATTGTAAACGGTCAAAATACTAGGCTGCTTTCTTCATGTATTTTATTAATGTTTTTTCATTTATGTAAGTCAAATAAACTTGACACAATAAAAATATATATTTAGTTTATTATTACATTGTGAAAAATAATTCAATCAATCAACTCTTTAGAACAGATTTTAATTTACTGGTCCATGTATCTGTAATATAAAAAAGACAGCCATCTTATTAGTATTCAGTGGAATAATTTTTGTCGATTAAGTTTTTGTACTGCATGTACTTACTGCCTCTGCCAACTCAGGCCAATCCATGGACATCACAATTGTGTCATCTGAGCTCGGTGGAGTTTCCAGATTCCAATACGTCAGCTTGTCAAACACTGAGGATACTCGAACTGTTCTGTCCTAAAATCAAAAAGAACATCTGAGTTGATTTATTCAATTTCATATTTACAATACAGAATTACCTCGTGCTCTGAACCCGGCCTGTTGACTTCTTTCACCACAAGACCGGTGTAATGTTGTGGACAGCTGATCTCTTTTCCTTTAAGACCTCGGCCCCGAAATGACACTGTTTTCTCTGAAACATGTTTATTAGATTCACCTTTAAGTCGATACTTGCTGTGAAAACCTACAATTAGTTAGGTTTGGAGCCTTTTTGAATCAATGACTTTGATGGTAAAATGATATGAACACAGTAAGAATAAATGTCTTCCTATCCTTTCAAGTGGGAAAATCATAACCCAACTTTTGTTGTATCTACACCTTGACAGTAATGACAGCAGTTCCTTTGTTTTGGTATACTACTACAGGTATTTCAAGTTTTGCGTGTTTGCCATATTAACAAAACGCAAATACAAATTTAAAATTGTCATGACAATCTTCTATTGCTTACCATGCTTGCAGTCTTTTACTGTGGCGGAGAAATACTCCGTGATCTGTGCAGGTCCATTGTGATTGATCACACAGGGCATGAGATGGACAGAGGCGCTAGGGGCTTGTCCCAAAGGCATCTGAAGACCAATCTCACCGGACATTCTATCTACTGCTCACAGCCAACCTTTTACACACAATACAACAGAACACGCATAAAAACTAACATAAACGCTCATATTTTTTTCAGTATGCTTTATAATAAAATTATACTCCAAATGCACAACCGTAAAGTAATGGATCTTAAGCTAAGTCCCATGCAACTCCCGCGTGTTTATTTCCGGATTTCCGTGTATGTGTTTCTGATTGGTCCAACTAGGCGTCTCTCTTCTTTCTCCTTATTATTATTGTTATATAATTAAGTGCCTCCCTCTAGTGGTTGCTACATGAGTTACACCCGTCATTATTATAGATTCCTCGTTACGCCACATTAATATATACAGTCTATGGTTACGCCACATTGTCCTGTGGCTACTGTGCTAAAAGTGGAAAGGGAAGCCGCCGGGATGAGCCTCCAAAATTCCCTTTTTAAAATTCATTAAAAATAAATCTGAACTACTTTTACTGCACACTTTTTCAATGTGGTGCCCTCTACTACTGTACAAAGTAACATTCACTTCTACCGTGGAAATTCAAAGAAAATTGTGGTCAAAGTGTGCAATACTGGTCTAATATGCACTCTAAAATTAATTTAAAAAAATAAATATAAAAGAGTTTTGGAAGTAATCTTTATTTATATACCGCCTTTCACAGACCAGAGTCACAAAGCGGTTTACAATTGTTTTTCTTGGGCATTTGTCTCTCACTCCACACAGAGATGGGAGCAGGGTCACCAGTACAGGAGGCGCATGCCAGACCTATTGTGCATGTTTTTAGTGGTAGGGGAAACCGGAGTACCCAGAGGAAAGTACCCATGCAAACTCCACTCAGAAAGGCCCTGGTCCGACCGGGATTCGAACCCTGGACCTTCTTGCTGAGAGGCGAGAGTGCTATCCACCATGTCACCCACAACTTTTGCACTTTCTCGTCCTGCCAATCGTCAAGTTAATATTCATTAATATTAATAATAATAATAATAATATTATAGTTCATATTTACAGTCTATGGTGTAGTCCCAGGGTTTTCTTGGCAGCGCATGGGTTTCCAGACTGAGGAGTTGGTACTTGGGTCTCACTCACAGGTCTATTCTGGACCAGTCCAGCAGGAGCTGGTTGTGAATATCTCACAATATTTTGAGATTAATTTCATGATTATTTTACTTCGACTTTATTCTTATAATATTTTGACTTTTAGTTTAAAGTAAGAAATATTCTGACTTTATTCTCATAGCGTCTGGCAAAAAAGGAATCGGACGACCCTTACGCTTCGTCGTAATTTACTGTACTAGATGTATAGTATTTTATTCTAAAGGAATTAAGTTGAAATTGATCACACCAACGTGCTTTGTGTTGGCTATCAATAATGACAAAGTGAAACATTTAGTCTCCTCCCATACATAGTCAGAATGCAGTCACTCTTGCTGTGGGATGGACAGGGATCTATTTGTCCTTCATAATTTGTGTAGTGTTGCTGTTTTCCTATTTAGACCCAACTACATTTTTGATTGAGCACCACTATGACAGAGGTAAGTTGTTGTTGTTTGTTTGTATATGCCTCTCTTGTGTGACAGTGTCTATCACCTTGTGGGATTGTCATTCACAGCCAGCGTGTCGTTTATAGATAACCTTCGGCTTTATTTATATGGGAAACAGGATATAATCAAAACTCAACTTTAGGTATATATTTTATCTATTGTCCTTTCAAACATCGTTTTATTAATGTCAAAGAATGAAAGCCATACAGTCATCTGTACACCTTTTTTGTAAATGTCCTATTTGACAACTTGTATCTCTCCTTGAAGATATGATTTGCTGGATTTTGTATGTCATTAAACGGTGGATCAACCAATTACTGTAAGTTCCTGGGGCCAACTTTGCAAGAACAGGTTTATACAATTGTTCTTAAAAGTGTGTCATTTTCTGAATAAGCGAGACTAACAAAAAAGGACCTATGGCTCTGCAGGACTAAATACTGCACATAGTGGCGTATTCACCAGCGAAGTTACTTATAATGGTGGTTTGCATAGAATAAACCTGATTCCCTTATAGCTATGAGCAAAAGGAGATTATATTGATTTTGTTTTTTTATTCTGGTTGTATAAACCTTTAAGGCTGCTGGCAGTTCAGAGTCATTTGATTGGTGCTTGTGACTGAAATTAGATTCAGTGGTGTAACACTGATCAATGTGAATAAGGCTGCCTGTGTCTTTGATATACATAATGATTGTTCACTTACTGCTCTGTTGAATGATACTTTTTCTTTTACAGACAACAAGTTTGCAACTTGGACGCTCGTTGCTGTCGGTTGATGCATTCATCGCTCTCGTAAACCGAATCTTTCTAAAAATTGAGAAAACTGTTTTGATGGCGATGTCACAGGCTCGGCAGAGAATTCTGCAAGGCTTTGTGGTCATTTCCGTAACTTTATTTTTCCTATGGGTTGCAGCATTTTTATATGGAAGCTTCTACTTCTCTTATATGCCCAAAGCAACTTATTCTACCCCTGTCAACTATTATTACAGGTGGGTCCCTCAGCATCATTTACTTTGCCTTGTGATTTCATGTTTTTAAAACATTTTGTCCCTTTAGAACAGATTGTGAAACTCCCGGCTCTTTCCTGTGCTCATACCCTGTGGCAAATGTGTCTTTAATGAAGAACAAGAAACATGTGCGTATATCAACAACAATAACTGTACCCATTTTTACAACACAGATCTTATGTCATTACATGTCATGATCGTACACACAGGTGTTGACCTTTGGGCAGGCCTATCAACTTTCTCTGCAGCTGGAAATGCCTGATTCTCCAGTCAATCAGGAAATTGGGATGTTTATGGTTCGAGCTACATGTTTTTCCCAGGATGGAGGACAGGTGGCTTCATCTTCTCGTGCTGTGAGTATCTGCTTATAGGTTTTTGCATCATAGTTATAGTAGCAATATATATAGTGTGTCCACCCATGAGCAGACGATACTTAAGCTCTACATGATCTGAGCGAGATCTTGCACAAACATGAGGCTGCTCAGCAGTCATCATTGTCACATTTTGCACACTTCTGTCTTTCTGCACAATTTGAGTGAATCTATCTATACCAAATGTGACATGTCAATTTCTCCATTGTGAGATCAATAAAGTTTATCTTATCTTATCTTATTGTTGCTGGTCATTTCAATAAATGTAATTTAAAGTCTGTAATCCCAAACTTCAACATGTGACTTAGAGGAGCACACATTCTTGATCACTGTTATAGCAACTTGAAGGGAGCTTACAGGTCCAGTCTCCTCTGTCCTTCTTCCTTCATGCACACAGAGGAGCAGGCAACACAAACCAACTCCCTGCACTGTGCAGTGCTGGTCTGAAGAGGCCAACATTAAGCTACAGGGCTGTTTTGATTCCAGTGACTGGTCTATATTTCAGTCTGATAATGTAAATGAATTAAATGATGCTGTGACTGGATACATTCACTTTTGTATTGACTGCTGTGTCCCACAGAAGTTGAATTAAATTAAATAACATTTTAGTCAAAACTCCTAGATAAACGCAGAAGTGAAACTTATGAGAGTGCTTTGGCATTTCAATCAAATGATGCAGTTGCTTATAAATTATCCAATTACTCCTTGAAACGCTCTATTAAATCTGCAAAGCGCAGTTACAGGGACAGGTTAAATGATTATTTTGAAGAAGATGACCCTCAGCCCATGGGAACGGTATGAAAGCATCACGTCCTGAGAACCAAGTGCTGGGAAAATTGCATCTTTTGGCCAAGCTCTGCCAAATGAGCTTAACACTTTCTACTGTCGCTTTGAATCTGTTACCTGATACCTGTCTCGTTGTATTCCCTGATTGTTTCAATCAAGGTGCCTTCTCCAGCGGGTCTTATCCAGGACTACAGTCCGGAAAGCCCCAGGGCCAGACGGCCTCCCTGATCCTGTACTGGAACTTGCCCCTGAAAACTGACATTTTCAACTTGTCACTAAGGAACTGTACTGTGCCGAACAGTACCGTTACCACTAACTCTAAGATTCTGCTTAACTTTTATCCAACAAGATTTCTTGTTGGTTCTGTGACTGTGTGGTTTGGTGACATCACAGACAAAGAAAGGAGAGCACTAAACAAGGTGCTCTGCTGTACAAAGAGGACTGTGAGCTTCCTGTTCTGGAGGTTCTTTATAAATCCAGACTTTTAAACCGAGCTCTTAGAATAATCAATGACTCTTCTGGCCACCCTGGAAAAGCCATGTTCCAGCTTCTTCCCTCTGGCAGAAGATATCGTTCACTGAGATGGCAAGACATCTCGCTCCCACAAGCTGTTATCAATTTAAACAGAGCACTTTAAATGATGTGGCACTTCTACTGAAACTGTTTTAGTTGATCAATTTCACAGCAATAATTGTCTCCTGTTTTAATTGTTTTTATTTTTTGTTTCTTTTAACCTTTTTTATGTATGTACTTGTCTTGTGCACACTAGTGACTTTTGTGGATGTATTCCAATGTAGTTTTAATGGAAATGGCAAATAAAATGAATCTGAATCAATCTTTGATATTTCTCTGTTACAGCTGTCTGCATCGAGTTCCCATTTTGTAAGTAAACCATTGATGTTGTGTATTATTACTTCTGCACAACAAGGATAGTGCAGATTTGTACGAGTTGCGTAGTATGACAACAAAATAAAATATGTTTGTAACAATATTGGAGTTCACTTCTTGAAGATGTATCAGCATTTACAGCTGAGATATGTAACTTTCAAAACATAAACAAGTTTTGAAAGTTTAACTATGTAATAAAACACATTTCTCAAAACAATTTCCATCACATCGACATTGTATTTTTGACCCCATAACATCTTTAGATCAGCTTTTCTCAGACGCAAAGGTGAAAAAGAGATTATCCTTAGCCAATCAGATTTCAGCCCATAGTATCAAATAGTAGCTATTCCTTTTTATAATTAATTATCCTTAATTATAATCTATCATTCATGAAGAGATAAATGTAGGTACGCCAGCCTTAATCTCTCCCTTATACTGTTCATTATGACCATCATCATGTGAATAGGGAGTGCTACGATACCGCTCGGATCTGGTGAGGACTCTAGAGACGCTGCTTTTATTCCCTGCATTTCTGACCTCGACTGTTGAGCAAAAACAAATGCTGGAGGTGGAGCTCTTCTCAGAATACACAGATGATCCAGTGAGTATTCAAACAATGTATTTATAATAATGTGAAATAACGTATACTTCACTGTCTGTAACTTTGTCCCACTACACACAGTACGCTCCCTCGGACACAGCTATTATTGAGATAATGTCCTCCAAAGTGCAAATCTACTCCTCTCAGCTCCTTGTTCATGCACATTTCACTGGTTTGAGGTCTATCACAGCCATTTTTATGTTATGGACTATATATTCTAAAAATACCTGTACTGACAGTCTTGCCACTCTCTTTTTAGGTATTTGTTGTTCAGGTTCCCGCTCATTTCAGCCGTGGTGGGCATTTCATCTAACTTCCTCTTCCTAAGTGCCCTCTTTGTCTTAAGTTATATGAGACAAATGTTAAATTTGAAAAAACCCGAAGAGGTACACTTTCAATTTATTTTTGTGAAAGCATTGAGATGTTGACCTTTTATTTTCTTGTTTTGCAGCTCACACCAAACAGTTCACCAGAACGAAGAGAGAGATGAGGAGTTTGACAAAAGATACGATATAGAAGAAATGCTGTTTATCCTTATTGATGTTACTTAAGTTTTGAATGGGAGCGAGGTGTTCCCAAAAAATCAGTAGACACATACTTGATCTAATAATACTAACATAATACTCTTACTCTTACTAGTCATATTAATATGATTTGATTTTCTGTCATTAATCTTTTGCAATTATAAGTAATTTATCAGACTCATATGGGGTGCACACCCATTCTTCTTTTTTGAATAACCAACAGAGAGAGAACACATCAGACGCATGCTCTCTTCATCATTAAAACATGTTGACTTTGCATACTTGCTTACTTGCTTACTTTGCCTACTCTATATAACACCGGTTTATTTTCACACTTTTACTTTTAGATTAAAAACTCATAACTATACATATATTGTGTATTTTGCCTAAATGCGATTGATGTGATTTGTGAATTTGTGGACTTAACTAATAATAATAAACAATTGGCCATCCTATCTGCTTCTGTGCTTCATTATCTGTAACTGTGCTGTGGAAACTTCATAACGTCACAACATGCAAAACACAACCACTCAGGCGAGAGCCTCAGGCAGTGGATCAGTTTGACAGTTACAGGTAAGAGCATGTGGATATGGCATTTTCTTTCAGAACACTAACTTGCGATAAATTGTGTTTGCCCTTTTTCTAGAACTGTGTACTCATATACGTGGAGGTGAAAGAATGGATCTTTGTTGAATAAGATGGAAACCGGTACAACTAACAACCAAAGAGCAGACATAATGAACAATTTGTCTGATGAGACTGTCAAAGTCTTCTCCAGGCAGAAACTTCAAGCCACAAAAAGCTTTCCTCCGTACAGTCAGTGCATCGGGGGACTGGGACAAGATCCAGTGCAGGATGGAGAGTTTTTTTTTGAACCATCTAATACACAGCAGGATACAGATGCTGCTGCGAGTAAAGATGAAACCAAATGCAATCGGATTAAATTGACGGCTAGAGGTACTGGCAGTGAATTGATGGAAACCTTGAGGTTGAAGAGAAATCATAGGTTTGGCGGAAGTTGTGAAAAGTGTCCAGATGAATGGGAGAGAATAAATAACCTAAGGAAAACACAGCTCAGTCCTGGCATCATCAACGAGGCCAACACCTTAAATGGGGAGATAGGAAAGTATCAAGATGAAAATATGGTTGATGAAACAAGCCCATTTATGTTCAAAAGAAATCAGGTAATGGAGGAAGGACCTCTTCAGAGGTCATCACCACATCCCATTCTGTCCAAACTTCTGCAGTCGTCCGCATCTTCAAGCTGCTCCTCTGTCTGTGCTTCGTCAGGGGAGAGTGATGAGGCCAGTGAAGGAGAAGGAACCGTGTCCCAGCGGAAAACACTCAGGAAGGTGAATTTTTCAATTTTATCACACTTACTTACACTATATACAGTAAACCATGTGTTTACCAACTGTTGACTTCACTCATTTTTGCATGAAATGAAGAAGGTCATTGTTAGATTATATTTGAATAACATTTGCATGCCTGGCTGCTACTTTTGAATTTACAGAATATTGACTACATTTTGGATGAGTGCAATTTTGTACTTTTTCATGTTCTGCATGAAATTACCTTTATCCAAAAATGACTACAAAATGGCACGATCGGATAGATGTTTCTCCTTGTCCATTTGAATAATGGTGGCACAATGGCAAAGTGGGTAGCACTCAAGCCTCACAGCAAGAAGGTTCCCATACTGTATCTAGGTGGGTTTGCACTGGTTTCCCTCACCACCCAAAACATGCATCCTCCTTCCCGGTAGTCCTGACCAAGCCGAGCTGAGGCAACCACCGGTCCTGACAGGTTTTCATAGATGCATTGCAGGATGAGTCAAATGGACAATATCAAACTCCTTCCTGTGTGGAGTTTTTTTCTTTCTGACAACGTTCTCTAGGCAGTCTGGATTCTGCCACCTCCCAAACCATACATCATAGGTAAATTCTCCAGCTCTGGTCCTGACCAAATCAAGCCTGGGAGTTGCATCATAGCCACCACTGCTCCTGACATGATTGAAAGATGAGTCACATGCAAAGAACACATTGTTCTATGGAAATACCTTTCACTTAACTTATAACCATGATTAACATTGAGCTGTTTAATTTAAATATCTAATTTATTTACTATGCACCATCAAGTTTACTGATAATAGTTATGTAAAATAAAATGTCTTGTCTTTGCCAGAGTCATTCCTGGAAAACCTTTTTGACTATGATGCACTGGTCATTGAAGAGGCAGAGCTCCTTTGTCCAGCTGGCTGGACATCAAGGTATGTATTAAACTTCACACGCCATCATATGATTCAACTACATAAAACAAATACAATCCATATGTCTGAAGCACAAACAAATGTTTAAATAGCAGGGTATAACAAGACTAATATTACAACGGTTTTAGATAGCCTTTTTTGGACACTCAGATGGCATTATTCATTCACCCCATACACAATGGTGAAAAGCTATTGTAGATACAGCTGCCCTCGCTGCCCCTCTGATCACCTCCAATCACACACACACACACACACACACACACACACACACACACACACACACACACACACACACACACACACACACACACACACACACACACACACACACACACACACACACACACACACACACACACACACACACACACACACACACACAGACACACACCTTGTGTTCCTAGAGGTCTCCCATCACAGTACTTACCAGACCCTTCTCTGCTTAACTTCCAGTGATGCTGGTTGCATCACAATGGTGTCTGATACTGTATGTTATTATGGGTTTTCTTGTTTTATACTTTGATACATTGTACATATTGTGCTTTACAAATACATTTTGGCCGATTAATTGATTGCTTCAGATGCCCCCTTTGATTCTTACTACTACTTACTAATACTCTTTGTTTACAATGTTTTTCAAGAAATATCCAAATGGACAATAACAACTTAACAAGATACATTATTGATCATTCTAGTGCATGAGTGTCTCAGTTATGCCTCTGGATCCATTACAATTTCAATGCATCTATTACCATTTTTACTATATATTAATATTTCATGTTTGCACACTTCCTGTCTTTTTGCATTGATTCTATTCATGTCAAATGTAATATGTAAATTCCTCCATTGTGAGATCAATAAAGTTTATCTTATCTTAAAACTCACAGTCCCCTGCATATTATAAACAGGAAACTTTCAACTGAGCGATGGAGGTGAGGTACTCAAACTCTACAGTGAAAGTGAAGCTGCCTGCCTGGACATTTTAATGACAGACCCTCTGAGGCCCTTTGTGCCGCAGTACTATGGCCTCATCAGCAGAGGAGAGCACCGCTACATCCGCCTGGAGGACCTGCTGTGTGGACTCAAGAGCCCCATGATCATGGACTGTAAGATGGGAGTCAGGTAAGCTTTTTGTTATAGGTTCCATTGTCATGACGACACACCAGCCAATGCTTTATGGTCAGAAATGTGTTTGTATTCTGAGCATTCTACAGTTAATATGTTTAGTTTGCAGATAATAGGTTGTGTTCATATTGTAGAGTTTTATTTCAGTTTAAGAGCAGATGCCAATACAATTGTATTGTCTTTGGCAATTTATGAAAGAAATGTTGAACAACTACAACCCTTCCTGAGAATTTATTTAAACCGTAGTTGATATGTACTAACAAAGAAGACATTTTTGTTTCATGTGGATTGGCCCAGGAATGACAGAGAAATCACACCAGAAATCTGACTTTTGACACTTACTGTACCATAGATACCAGGAAATATTTTTCAGCTGCCCACATTGTTAAACTATATAGGCTCTTTGGATTGTTGTAATGTTACATGAATGCAACCTATTGAAGATATTCTGTAAACATGAATAAATTGGAACAGCACTTGTGGATCAGGATCATTACTAGCTGACAAACATATTTTCCCCCAGTAACAACAATAATGCATTACAAGTTTGAATAACTTTAAAGACTATTGAGAAAAATCCGTGGGTGTTTGACTATTTTGATTTGAATTTCAGAACGTACCAGGAGGAAGAGATAAAGAACGCGCACACCGGACCTCTGCTGCGTAAGGACCTGTATCAGAAGATGGTCAAAGTGGATCCTTCAGCGCTGACAGCAGAAGAACATGCACAGATGGGGGTGACCAAGTGGAGGTACCTTCACTGGAGAGACACCACCAGCTCCACTTCTACTATGGGCTTTCGCATTGAGGGCATCATGGTATGGGAACAACCCTTCAAATGCACTAAGTCTACACATATTGGTTAATTGTGTTCATGTATTAATAGATGGAAGATGGAAATATTCACAGAGACTTCAAAAAGATTTTAACATTTACTCAAGTAACGGAGACTCTGCTTTTCTTTACCAGACACCAGTTGAATGTCTTGGTAAGTCACAATCAGTGAAATTGGACGCACGCACATTTGCACAACTACACATCATAATTAGGACTGCACTGGGACTGAATCCAAAGCTGGTCTAGTGCAGGACTACAATAAAGCCAAGAGCACATTTGTATAGGACCAAACAATGTTAATGTATCTTTCAGCCTGCTCTTTTAACTTACTTAATCTCACTTACAGTGCTTGTTTTCAAAATAATCAGTCTTTTTTGAAAACCTTTATAATTAATAACAAAATAATTAAAATGATTAAAAGGTGCAGCAAGACAGCATTGTGGTTCAAATGTAACATCTCCATTGAGACATTTAGGTGGCAGAAAAGTATATCAGATTTAGACATATAAGTGTTGGAAAAGTTACTTGTAAAAAGTAATTAGTTACATATTACTGATTAGAGAGAGAGGGAGAAAGAGAGATAGAGAGAGAAAGAGAGAATGAGAGATAGAGAGTTGGTCTACAAATAAAACACAACATTATTCTCAAACCTGTCCCTACCTTTTAATGAAGATTTTATTGTCACAATTCATTGTCAGAAATCCTATCACTCAAGACTCCTGGCCCTAGATGAAGCCTTGAAGTGTTCACCATTTTTCCGAAAGCATGAGGTTGTTATAACATTACATTTCAATCATTTTTTGAATTGAATCAGATATAAAGTTGTGTTTCTTCTTTAGGTAATTGGAAGCTCGCTCCTCTTTGTCCATGACCCCAGCAATAAGGCTAGTGTTTGGATGATAGATTTTGGAAAAACCACACCTCTTCTGGAGATAAATGAGCTTAAACATAACGTGCCATGGACTGAAGGCAGCAGAGAGGATGGATACCTCCTGGGACTCACTTCCCTCATCACATCACTGAGCCAGGCCATAAGTAGCATCTCCTGTCAACAACAAAAACACTGTGACAGTGACATAGAGACGAGTACAGAATAATGGAATTTATTGTGATAACTATTTGTCCACAATGTTTTTTCTTAAAAATGTGTGTGTGTTTTTTTTTTTTTTTAAACTTATGTCATTATGTTTTTTTTTATATTTACAGTCTATGGTTTTTCCCCACTCTCCCCATTTCTTGAGTGGTATACAGAAATAAAATGTTGGAATTGCTTTTAACTATTCTGTTTGAATTATTGGTACCATTTATGGTAATTCCTTTTTTCTTTTACGTGTGCAGTTTTAATAGATCGAAAATAACTTTATATTACTAACCTACTTATATTTTTTGTTGGTGTTTGGTAATTTAATCACGTGGTCACTAACCTTGATTTTATGCCTGAATCACACCGCACAGGTAACGTAAATATTTAGGTATTTTCTCCGCGCTTTAATTTCGCTAACGCTAACATTAGTTACTCTATACAGTCTATGCTACAGACAGATGTGGATTAAAGATGGATCGTGTGACTTTCTTTCGGAGATTTTATCCAAATCTGGCAGTGACCGCTCATGTTCTGAATCAAGGTATAGCTGCGTTTGTTTTGCTTTCTTTTGACCGTTTGTGCACTTTTATTAAATGTTTCTGTGTAGTTCACAAAAACAGTTTGTGGCAAAACGTCTGTGCTAGCCATAGACAGTAACCTATATATTAATTCTAGCTAATGGTAAGGTAGGTCAGGTTGTCACCACATGGAGCGGCTAACGTAACCCAGTAGATTAGTTGTTTGCCAGGCTGTTGGCTTATTAGAGTGTGGAAAAAATAATAATTTCTGTAGTTATAATCGCTGAACAGAATATATTTTATTATGAATGGACTCAAGTTCTCAGACTTCACAGACCAGTGTTAGCACCACGTGGTCAGTAGCAAACAATTATCCCAGTGATTTGATTCTAAACACCCAAATTCTAAACATCATCAATGCAATCGTCATTACGTTAACTAGTATTTCATATTTGCTGTAGACATAATATGTATGTTAACTTGAATCTGCGCTTCAGTTTGATCCGGAAGTAAATAATTAACCAAATTCTTGACTTCCTGTTTGTGTAACACACACAAGGAAGGAGCTAACTGCTGCTAAAGGGTATTCCTAAAGGTGGAAATAGTGTACATAACCGCATTATTTTTAGTGTTGGATTGGAAAAACAAACTGTGGTCTCTGCTAAACTAATCTGTGGTTGGGTCTGCGTTGGATTAACCGCACAAAGTGTAGGTTGTTAAGAGGGTAAACGCAACTGAAGAAATGGCGGACGGAGGACATTACTACAATGGTAAGAAACAGTCTTTTATTATGTTTGCCCGTGTTGTGTTTCTGTCAGGTCGAGGCGCGTTTATGGTGAAAAGGGAGTTCTCGGATCTGAATCCCAGGATCGGCAGAGGTAAAGTGTCGTGGTTATGTTGTCGGTGGATGTGTGCGGAGGTCAGCAGTCCATGGGAGCGGAACGTGGGCGACTCTGCTGAATTCCTTCTACATACAGCTAATTGTCTCGATCGAGACCCCTCATGCGATTACTACTTTCAAATATTTAAAATATAAATATCAAATCCAATATTTATCAAATATTTGAAATATAATACTTCATTCAGCTTGAGTCACTGCAGCCAGAACAGCTGCTGTTATACACGGAGTATTTTATCTTTAGCTTTTCTGCACGTTTGTATTTTCTTACTTTTTATTTTCCTCCTCATTTGCAAATGTTATTTGTGTTTACATGCCTGGTTATACAGTTTTATTACGATTCTTTTGATTAATAAGATGGAAAGTTTGCGGTACTAGTAACCTTAAATAATGTTTTATAAGCAAGAATTTATTCATGTGTGTTCTTAGTATGAAAAGATGCCCTTACAACAGAATAGTATTTAAGTTTTTTTTTTTCCTTTAGGTATGTTTAATATACTACTAGAAATTACATTTTAATTTTTTTAAAGCGTTGCATAACTATCTTTTACACTAATTTTGCCACTTCTTCTGTAGAGTAGCTTGTCTTTATCCACCTGCCAGTGTCAATTTCTAATATGTTTTATAGAGCATGATGATCGAACTGCACCATTTCGCAACCGCAAAGGCAGAGGGTCTCACAAGGGACGCTTTGACAGATCACGTAGAGATCGGCATCGTGGCGGCCAGTTAGGAGGCTTCGGTGGACCTGGACCAAGGTCTAGGCTTGATGACCTAGATGGAGATGTAACCATGAGCGATGGAGGCTCACAAGATATTGGTGGTCAGAACAGATTGTAAGTGAAGTGAAAGATCAAATATGTAACTGTTGGTAGTAGAGTTGTTTTTTTTTTTTTGAGGGGTTAGATATTGAGGGAATTAACTTTAAGTGTTCATTTACAGCACTCCATACGGAAGATCAAGTCGGAAAGGTGAAGGAAGGATAGAGCGAGACAGGCGACCAATCAAAGGAGGTCGTGGTGGTTTCAGAGGAGGAGAACGTGGTGGGGGCAGTGGACTTGGAGCAAGGACTCGGACTGGCTGGTTTAAAGTAACTGTAGGTATTTTTTTGATAAATTCTACAGATGTGTATGGAAGCCCGTTTCCGCCATGTATTAAAAAAAAAAGTATACAGAAAGTCAAAATTTTGAGTTTAAAACTCAAAATTACGACTTTAAAAGTCAAAATTTCGACTTTAAAAGTCAAAATTACGAGTTTTCAACTGCGCATGTGCAGTTGAAAACTCGTATGTGTTGTTTGGAACGGTCTCTGGTCATCCCTGTTATAGATCCATGACCATGGGTCATCCTTTACCTGCAGATTATGTGAAGATTTTGCCTACAGACAGTGACCACATCCATGAAGTAGCAGCAATAATGTTGTGGTAGTAATCGCGTTAAAATGCAAACGGTCTCTCCGTTTATGATTAGAATCCTCTATTTAATTTATCCTAAACGGACTGTGGAAGATTAATAATAAAACATATGCGGCTGTTCAAAGTCATTGAGCATCCACTGGTCAGTATCACAGCTATCGATGGATGCACCAGAAATGCAGTGAATATTATTGTGACTGACAGAGACCGTTCGCGATTACTGGACAGTGAGGGAGGTCCGCAGACAGAGGCAGGAGAACCACAGACAGAGGCAGGAGAACCACAGACAGAGGCAGGAGAACCACAGACAGAGGCAGGAGAACCACAGACAGAGGCAGGAGAACCACAGACAGAGGCAGGAGAACCACAGACAGAGGCAGGAGAACCACAGACAGAGGCAGGAGAACCACAGACAGAGGCAGGAGAACCACAGACAGAGGCAGGAGAACCACAGACAGAGGCAGGAGAACCCACAGACAGAGGCAGGGAGAACCACAGACAGAGGCAGGAGAACCACAGACAGAGGCAGAGAACCACAACAGGGCAGGAGAACCACAGACAGAGGCAGGAGAACCACAGACAGAGGCAGGAGAACCACAGACAGAGGCAGGAGAACCACAGACAGAGGCAGGAGAACCACAGACAGAGGCAGGAGAACCACAGACAGAGGCAGGAGAACCACAGACAGAGGCAGGAGAACCACAGACAGAGGCAGGAGAACCACAGACAGAGGCAGGAGAACCACAGACAGAGGCAGGAGAACCACAGACAGAGCAGGAGAACCACAGACAGGCAGGAGAACCACAGACAGAGGCAGGAGAACCACAGACAGAGGCAGGAGAACCACAGACAGAGGCAGGAGAACCACAGACAGAGGCAGGAGAACCACAGACAGAGGCAGGAGAACCACAGACAGGCAGGAGAACCACAGACAGAGGCAGGAGAACCACAGACAGAGGCAGGAGAACCACAGACAGAGGCAGGAGACCAGACAGAGGCAGGAGAACCACAGACAGAGGCAGAGAACCACAGACAGAGGCAGGAGAACCACAGACAGAGGCAGGAGAACCACAGACAGAGGCAGGAGAACCACAGACAGAGGCAGGAGAACCACAGACAGAGGCAGGAGAACCACAGACAGAGGCAGGAGAACCACAGACAGAGGCAGGAGAACCACAGACAGAGGCAGGAGAACCACAGACCGAGGCAGGAGAACCACAGACCGAGGCAGGAGAACCACAGACCGAGGCAGGAGAACCACAGACCGAGGCAGGAGAACCACAGACCGAGGCAGGAGAACCACAGACCGAGGCAGGAGAACCACAGACCGAGGCAGGAGAACCACAGACCGAGGCAGGAGAACCACAGACAGAGGCAGGAGAACCACAGACAGAGGCAGGAGAACCACAGACCGAGGCAGGAGAACCACAGACAGAGGCAGGTGAACCACAGTCACGGGCACTGACAATGTTACCCTTTTGGAATTGCGATCAGTGCATTGAAGAGTATGTGACGTGTTTGCGTGCACGCGGGGGTGAGCTGATGGAGCGTGTGGTAAAGTTGTTGGCGTATGAGCAAGAACACAGAGACATATAGGGAATAAGTACCTTGTCTGATTATTTTATTTGCGACAAAATAAAGCCCACGACTCTTTTAGCAACAATTCGGAGAAATAACTCCGCAGATAACGGTGAGGGTCTTTGAAAAGGGAGTTAAACCCATTATAGATGCATGAATAAAACCCCTCTCAGCGTCATCGTCTGGTCAGAGTGGTCTATAGCAGATTGGATTGGAATGTCTCGATGGCTCATTTTCCTTTGATTTATTATAAAAACGTATTGCTCACATTATTTGTTACTATGTCGAAATAAGAAGTTGTTTGATTTAAATGCTGTATATATGTAAATTGAATTTAACATAAATAAATAAAAAGACAGCTCCCCCCTGCGTCCTACGACCGCGGTCTGGGGCTTAAACAGGAAAGTTTTACAGAATCAATCAAACAACATTATTTCTGGCTACTTCAAGGATGCAGTGGTCACTGTAGGCAATATCTTCACATAACCTGCAGGTGAAGGACATCCAGAGACCGTTCCAGACGACAACACATACGAGTTTTCAACTGCACATGCGCAGTTGAAAACTCGTAATTTTGACTTTTAAAGTCGAAATTTTGACTTTCTGTATGCTTTGTTGTTTTTTTTTTTTTCATGGCGGAAACGGGCTTCCATAGATGTGCACCCTTCTACTAATATTGATGTAATGACTGACTTTTTTTTAAATTTCTTGATAGATACCACATGGAAGGAAATATGACAAAAAATGGTTACTGACAGCACTTCAAAATATTTGTACTGTACCCTACACACCGGTGCAGGTAAGGTTTTTACTGTTCAATGCTTCAGTTTTTAAATTAAATTTTAAAAATCTATTGAATTTGGTGCTTTTTTTCTCTCAGTATCATGTGGAACACCACAAAGCACATTTTTATATAGATGATACAAATGCTGCAAATGCCTTGCATAAATGTTCTCACAAGATCACAGACACAGATGGTTATAAGGTTGGTGTGGTTTTTTCATTATATTGACACTTTGAGATAGGATTTTTATGTCAATCAATGTATTTAAAGGTGGAAGTACACGTAAATGGCAGCAATCCTCCATCCTTCCTCTCATCTGATTTAAAGCCTGAGCACTTGGAACATCTTAAGGTAAGTCAGATTTTACATGAATGTAAATAAAATCCAAATGTACATACTCAATGCATCATAAAATGTGTTTTGATTTATTTCTTAGCAATGCATGGCAAAACGCTTTGATGGCTCACAGCAAGCTCTGGACTTGAATAACATTCGAACAGATCCAGGTATCTAGATTTTGCTAGGTCTCTATAGCTATGCTCGGTCTGAATTAAGTAATGTTATGTAACCATTTTATCTTCTCTGTAACTATTTTTCAGACTTAGTGTCTCAGAATGTTGAAGTTATATTAAACAGAAAAACAAGTATGGAGGCAGTCATTAAGATTATAGAAGGAAACATTCCAGAGGTAAAGCATTACATGAGTTTTAGTTTGGTAGAGTATTATATTGTAGTAGCATAAGCAATATGTATAATTAAATCCACAATATCCATTTTCTCCTCCAGCTGACAAGCCTAAATCTAAGCAACAACCGCATTCACAAGTTGGATGAATTGACAGAACTGGTTACAAAAGTACCAAACCTAAAGATTCTTAATCTCTCTCACAATGAAGTAAAGTTTTTAATAAGTCATATTGGTGTTAAAATGCTGTGCAGTTTTTCTCATGTTTATTTCAATGTTGTCTTTTTAGCTTAAAACCGATAGAGAGCTGGACAAAGTGAAAGGCTGGAAGCTTGTGGAACTTTGGCTGAACAGAAATCCTCTGTGTGATTACTTCAAGGACCAGGCCTCATATATTAGGTCAGTCAGTGAGTATGTGGTACACTTGGAGAGGCTAAGGGCTAAGAACCCGCTGTTGTGCAGTTGTGTGATTGTGACTTGAGGACGTTTTGTTTCTTTTTGTGTTGGTAACAAACTTGTCTATCCAGGGAGGGAGGCACCAAGCAGAACTGGCTGGTTGTGATCTTGCTGTACACATATCACATTTCTTATGTAATTGTAAATGAACAAACTACTTTTCAGTTCTTGCTTTTAACAACCAAAACCTTTTCTTCTTGATTGCCTTGCGGAACTTCCTCCTGTCACCAAGGACACTTTGATATTTCACATTGGCATCTCTTTATGGCTTAGTAGGCTGCGTGACGCTCCATGATAGTGTACCCAGCTCTCCTTGGAAGTCCTTGTATGTATGTGTGTATATATATAATATATACATGTATGATGTAATTTTGTAACTAGTAAAATATTTCAATCAAATTTAATTTAAAGGTCAATCATCCTGAGAGTCATGCTGGTTTCTACCAAGAGAGACCAATATTGCTACACACAATATTAAACTACAGGTACATTTGGTATTGCCAAATGCTATTGTTATATTCAAACAATGGTTCACACTGCAAAGCAAAGGAAAATACAGCCCTAATACCCCTCCCCGTGCAGCATTAATAACCAAATAACTTTGTCCAGCACCCTGTAATAGGCGAGTATGGAAGGCTGGGTAGCCTATGACGGGTAAGATCCCACCTCCAAACCTTGGGACAACCTAAGACAGGCACAGTCACGATTACTCTGCTTCTGTCCCACTGAGCAGCAGCTCATATTTGTATTGAAGAAGAAGGTTGGGACTGCACAGGAAATGCAACTTCGCACAAGTGGAGGGGTGCGCTGTGCCTGCGATTGTTATTTCTTACACCAGGCAAATGGAAAAAAGAATTTTGGACTTGCTGCTCTAGAACAACTTCTGATGCTCAAAGAAGTGCCTGGAAAATCAAAGTCCTTCTTTCAGAACAAATGTGGAGCAAATAATTTATTCCGTGACCAACTCGAAGGGTAATGTTTGGAACATATCTACATGGTTTCAAATGAAAACAATTCAGGCTTTATTGCCTGTTGTATATTATAACCTATTACAATATATATATATATATATTGTATCTATTCAGCTTCTTAAAGCTTTTTTAGGATGACCATTGGACAGCTGGGTTCATCTAACAAGAGTCGAGTTTCTACCTTGAAATACCTTTTCTGCTTTGATCAACACTTTAAGAAACCTTTTAGCCTAAGTTGACAAAAACACAAAGCTAACGGTAATACCAGTGGGACAATTTATTGTCATTTACAAGGCCTTTTACTTTTGGGGGCCCAGCTTGTATGTATGTATGTATGTATGTGTGATCCTAGAAAAGTTTCTGATCAATGTATATCTACATACTGAAGCCAAAGGTGAGTATTATGGCTGGTAAGTACATTTTGGGTGATAAAGAAACCTAATGACACTCAAATTAAAAAGAAAGAATGATCAGTGTTACGTATTTTAAACTATTCGTTTACTCAGCTTTTGTGTTATAGCTTACTAGATTTAACATGCTATATTTTAAATATCTTAAGTCTTCCATTTGCTTCCCATATACTCCAGAATGAGTGTAATGTCACCAGAGGCTAGGTGTGACTGATAATGGTAGTAACCCATGCATGAATGCTACAAATGTGACACTAACATCCATTTTTACTTTTGCATTAGTGCTGTGCGGCAGAGATTTCCCAGACTTTTGAAACTCGTAAGTTATTCAACAATGTTATTTATTCTGTCTGTAATTTATTTTCAACAGCATTTTGCTATGAGGAGTGTCCAAGGGGTCATGAGTAATTGCTGAATTAATATACAGTACAGACCAAATGTTTGGACACACTTTCTCATTCAATGAGTTTCCTTTCATTTCATCACTACTGACTGTAGATTCACACTCAGGCTGTGTAAAGGCTATTTGACTAATAAGGAGAGTGGTGGGTGCTGGGCCTGATGACCTGGCCTCCACAGTCGCTGGATCTGAACCCAATCCAGATGGTTTTGGGGTGAGCTGAACCACCAAATGAAGGCCAAAGGGCCAACAAGTGCTAAGCATCTCTGGGAACTCTTTCAAGACGATTGGAAGACCATTTCAGGTCACTACCTCTTGAAGCTCATCAAGAGTGTGCGAAGCAGTAATCAGAGCAAAAGGTGCTACTTTGAAGAACCTTTTTTATTAGTACGTACATAATTCTACATGAGTTAATTCATAGTTTTTATGCCTTCAGTGTAAATTTACAATTTTCATAATCATGAAAATAAACTCTTTGAATGAGGTGTGTCCAAACTTTTGGTCTCTACTCTATGTATTTTAAATAAAACATTACATGTTATATGTTCATAATTTCATAAAATTGACAATGATGACATTTCAAAATTGATCATCAAAAATAGCATATTTCCTTTTTTTAAGTTTTTCATTTGTTTAGGATGGACATGACCTGCCCCCGCCCATTGGTTTTGATGTGGAAACGCCAACCACCATACCCCAATGCAAGGTACACGGTTTTGTATTTGGCTGATGATCTTCTAAAGATTTTTTTCATATATTAATGCTCAATTGCTCAAAGGCTCAACTTAAGGTTTAATTTTGTTTTTAAATGTAGGGCAGTTGTTTCGGTTCTGATGAAATAAAAGCACTCATTCTCCGATTCCTACAACAGTAAGTTTTATATATTGATTTATTTTATTTTTTTTCCTAAACCTTAATGTTTGCAACCATAGTTTTAAAACATTGTTTCCTATTGTTCTGTAGATATTATAGTATCTACGACTCATCAGACAGACAACCACTTCTGGACGCCTACCACGATGGAGCATCATTCTCCCTTACAACACCATTCTCAACGCAAAATCCTTCTAGGTATTAACTGTGGTTATTAAAAGTTATTCATGCTAAATCATTTGTTGCTACAATGTTTATTTGTGCGAGCAGGAGCAGTCTCGGTGAATATCATAAAGACAGTCGTAATCTGAAGAAAGTGAAGGATTCTAGTAAGTGTCTGTTCTGTTGGAAAATCTCTTTTAAAATCTTTATTAATGTTTATCACCTGTTGTTTTTTTTTTTTTTTTTAGCGATGCGGTTTCGGCTGCTGAAGCACACCCGACTCAACGTTGTGGCATTTCTCAATGAGCTACCTAAAACTCAACATGATATTGCTTCTTTCAACGTTGACGTAAATACCTACACAGTAAGTTTTCATTTGACTTTTGTCATGCCTCAATTTGTAGCAAAAAGGAGTAGTTTGTTACAAATGCACTCTTTATTTCAGAATACGTTATTATCTTTCACTGTGAGCGGAGTCTTTAAAGAAGGCAAGTTTTGGAAATCAACAAATGAAATGCATCAGTTTCCTTGGCTAATTTGTTATTTGTGTGGCAGTTGTTGTTGATGGGAAATCACGAGAGTCTACCATGGCCTTCTCTCGAGTTTTAATTACTGTCCCAGCAGGGAATTCTGGGTAAGATTAACTCTCATGAACCTGTGGCAATTAAAAATTAAATATTTTTTATTTTGTTCGTTTGTACATATTTCCTGATAAGTTTTAGATTAGTCAAACAATATTCAATAAAGCTGATTTCTACATCCCCTCACCTGTCTTAAGATTTAAAGATTGAGGTCAAGAAAGTCAACTTCTGAAACCGTAACGTTTTCACACGTTTTAATATCCTTAAGATCAAATTCAATGTGATGTAAATACAAAATGTACAATACTTTGGAAAACTAAGATTCTGTCAAACCTAAATCTAGTACCGATGGCTTTGGGGATTTTTGTGTGTGCTATTATGCATGCTTTTTTAAAGCGCGTCTCTTATCTGCCACGTGTTTACTTCAACAACATCATCCGACGGTTACCTTTTATTTAAAAGGTGTGGTGAGGGGCAATCATGTAGCCGATACTTTGTAGATTTCGCTTATTGCAGGTTATTTTTAGAACGTAACTAAACCCTTGTGACAAGTGCTGTAATTTATTTAATGTATTGTTATTCTTTTAACAGTTTGTGCATCGTCAATGATCACCTTTTTGTCAGAATGGCAACGACAGAAGAAATACGCAAGGCATTTGTTGCTCCTGCCCCAACTCCGTCTTCAAGTCCTGTTCCAACTCTCACCGCTCCGCAGCAGGAGATGTTAACTGCCTTTTCTCTGATGTCTTGCATGAACCTGGAATGGTCTCAAAAGTATGTATTTATGTCATGACTATTTGATTAAGTATTTATAGTAAAATTACAGCATCTTGTTACTTGTGTTCTTTTTGAATAGTGGGGGGGTAGTGGGGGGACGAAAGCTCCGTACGGGGAGGGTGAGCAGAGAGAGTGAGCTCTGCGCTCTCATTCAAAAATTTCTCATTCAATTAGTGCAGCTTTAACGCCTTTTTGCATTTAGTTTTTTTATTTGAATTAAATTCTAATGTGTTTCAAGTTGAAAGCATAAAGCACCGCCATGCAATTAGGAAACTATCGCAGTCACGTTTTCTTTATTTATTGATTCTGTGCCCTACTACATTATGGTAAATAATGTGTTCATTCTTTTCAGGTGCCTCCAGGACAATGAGTGGGATTTCAACAGAGCTGCTCAAATCTTTACTCAACTGAGGGTAAAAAGCTATTTTCACTTATGCATATATTTGTTTCCATATCATTTCCAAAATTAACTTTCTATTTTTGCAGAGTGATGGCAAAATCCCAGATGTTGCGTTCATTAAACAATAAAACATTGTTTTTTTATTTTATTTTCCTTACATGTCTTTACACATACATGATTGTGAAGATCTAGTTCACATTGACTTGGTTATTGAGCATAGCTTGATTTTAACTTCATATTTCTCTTCTGTTACTGATGTTGTAATGCTATTTTGGTTGTAGTTGTAACTAGTTTTTTTTTTTAATTCTGTGTTTGGTCACTCACTGTATTTCTTATGTATAGTATTGTGACTGTTCGGCTACGCTGTGCATTGCAAAACAATAAAATGTTTTATACACCTTGAATTTGTATTTGTCAAAAGTTTAAATTGCGTACCTATACCTAAGGTGTGGGTTCTATTGCTATTATGAGAAGTTATCGAAGTCTACATTAAGTCAATATTTATCTTTCACTAAAAATATGAGTTCCCTAGCTCTGTGGTTTTTAAAGTGAAGAGTTTTTAACCCTTGTGCAATCCTCGGGTCAAAACGACCCGCCACAGAAGGTAAATACCCTAAAATAGGGTCTAAATGATCCAGGGCTGTTAAAGTTAGGAAAAATCCATCAAAATTCGACTCTAAAAATATTTAAAGGTATTTTAGAATTACTGGCTGATCAAGTTGACCGGAGGATAGCACAAGGGTTGATATTGGCCATGGTAAAAACAAAGTTGTTTGTTACTTCCGGGGGAATGTTACGTTGGTGTGACGCGTGACGCACGCCGTCAGATAACAATAAACAACCCAGACGACAGGAGGACTGAAAACCATGGGCAAAATATGAACTGAAGAAGCTGTCAAGACTTAAGAGAATCCCGTCGTTTACAGAGGTCTTTTGGACGGATCCGATCTCAGAGGGCTTCCTTTGTTGCGTGAACTGGGGCTTTGCGGGAGTTGTGGTCTATCTTTTCCTTAGCCCCCATAGCTAGCGTCGTCTCCTTTTCGATTCCTTTTTTTGTACGCTCTGTGTTGGGTTTGTTATGCTGTTTTTAGAGGGCTGTATCGCACTCGTTCTCCGCCAGCTCTTCTCCCCCTCTCCCCGCTGTGTCTGGGCCCATGTCTCGCTGGCTTTTCCCCTGGTCGGGCTCCATCAAGAAGCGGGCCTGTCGATACCTTTTACAACACTACCTCGGGCACTTTCTGCAGGAGAGACTGAGCCTCGATCAACTGGGTCTGGACTTGTTTAACGGCAGCGGTGTCATCAAGGAAATTCACCTCGATGTGTGGGTGAGTTTTACAGGAATAAAAGTCCATCACACGCTCGTGTTTTTGTCTGAACCGTGCAGTACAAAGTGTTTCGCAAGAGGTCTTGAGTTCAACAACAAACTATCGTCAGTGTGACGGGAGCTCGCATTTCTTACAAGAAACCGAGTTCCCGGAGTGAGTTTGTTTTTGTTTATTTCCTTTACCAAGAAAGAATGTACTGTACCAAAATGACATGTGGACAATACGAGTAAAAGTAGATTTCTGGATGACCCTGCCAGTACCAGTACCAGTACTACTGTGTATCTGAAGGGTAACATAACTACTCTCTGTGTTTAGATTACATTCTGTTGTCTAGGAAAGCTATTGAGTCTTTTATTATAAAAGTCAAGCTTGAAAATCTGTTGTGAAACTATCTTGAATGTGGCCTACCTCATCAAGTACCAAGAGCATTGTCTTAACATTATGTTTCTTTTCACAAAGGTTTTTTTGTTCAATCTAACTAACTTATATAATTCCATGCAATTTTGACTTTTATTAAACTTAAGTGAATATAATGTGAGTATACTTTGTAAGTGAAATAAGTACCATTACAGGACATTTGAAAAAAATTATATCTTTGCCAGATAAAAAAAAGTTCATGACCAATAGTTTATTGACCGTATTACTAGTAAGAGTTGCCATTCATATGACACCATTCCTTGAGTTTTAAACTTGTAATGTAGCAGAACAAATATGACATGTACAATTCTCCATTGTGAGATCAATAAAGTTGATCTAATCTTATCCTAACTCTCATGTGACAGAATTTGACCAACCTTTGCAAATCAACAATTTGATAAGTTGCCATAATGTTCAATTGATGTTGAACCATGTACATCTTTCACAGGCGGTCAATGAGCTGTTGGAGTCAGTGGGGGCACCTCTGGAGATAGTTGATGGCTTTGTGAGCAGTATAACGGTAACCATACCATGGCAAGCTCTGCTCACTGATCACTGCACGTTGGAAATCTCTGGTCTGCAGATAACATGTCGGCCCAAGTACAGAACAAGTAGGTTCTCCTGACTGTGGCGGAGTACATACCTCCTGCGGTTACTATAACAATACAATTGTATCTTTAACTTGTCAAGGTGGAGGGTGGGACTCGCAGGGTTGGTCATCAAGCATGACGTCCAGCATGCAGTTGGCCCAGGAGTGTCTTAAGGATCCTCCTGAGACATTGGAAGAACCGGCCGCTCCTTTAGAAGGGCTTGAAATGTTTGCACAAACTATTGAGACGGGTAGGACTATTTTCTTCATGTTTTATAATCCCTTTTCTCTCATACTTATTCTGATGTATTACACATCATTGCATTTCTTCTTCTGTTTGTAGTTTTACGTCGCATTAAAGTCACTTTTATAGACACTATTGTTCGTATTGAACACCAACCCCTGGATCTGGAAACGGGTGTGGCCTTAGAAGTGAAGATTAAACGGTAAGATTTGTTTTTTATTACAATCAAAATCAGTTTTTTTTAGTAGACATTACTCATAATCTAATAGTATCACCATCATCAACTAAGCCACTGTTGCCTATACTTGGTATCAGCTGGGGCGACAGTGGCTCGGTTGGTAGAGCAATGGCCTTTAATCCTGAAGGTCGTGGGTTCGAGCCCATCACAAGTCCTTCTCTACCGACTCCCACTGATGTCTGCTATCATTGTCTCCTTGGATATCTGTTGTGAACAGGCTGGAGTACTTTGATGAAGCAGTGCGGGACCCTGCTTGTCAAACAACTGTGCCAGTCGACATCCACCAGCCCCCTGCTGTCCTGCACAAGATCCTGCAGCTCAGTGCAGTTCAGTTATTTTATGACAGCACTGGGTTCATACAGGTACTGTGTGACGTGTTTGAGATTAAATGTTTTGAGCTGCATTCTTCATAACACAGAATGTGACTTGTAATTATAGGATCAAACTGATCAGACTAATGCAGCCACAGAGGCACAGAAAGAGGACAATTATAATGGGGATGAGGAGAGTCCTGTCTCTCAGCCTCTTCTCATTGGAAGCTGCTCTGGATTTATTGAAACCATTGTGAAGATCAAACAGAATGACATGCTTCCAGGACCAAAGGTTTGACTCCGCACAATTTCATAATTTTTTGTTGAAATCTTGCACATGCATGCAGAACCCATTTTTGTATAATTTATTTTAAACTTTTCTCAGAACAAAGCATCTTTCTGAATGTCTAGATGGGTGCTTTTACGAAAGAGGTTAGCCTTCTCAACCCATTCATATTAAGACCCATTTCTTCTCTCCTGTCATTAGCTGGAGTTGGAGGGGAAGGTGGGCTGTGTTCACTTGCTGCTGTCTCCTGATCAAATAACCCACCTCACTGACCTGCTAGCAGCCCTTTGCATAAGCACAGGTAAATATACTGTAGTTATAAAACATGTGTTCTTTGACTGTTGGGACAATGAGGTTATGCTTTTGGTGGATGCAATGGAGTCGCCTTATTCAAGCTTACAATAGATCTTCAATCACTTTTGATTACATTTTTATTTACAGAGCTTGACAATAAAGTAGGTGGTGTGCTCTGTCGCCCAATGGACTCTGATGATCTGCGTATGATTGAGGAAGACCTCAGTAAACAACTTGGCTCCAGCCCAAGAGATGAAGATTGGGAAGATGAGGCCGAGCTTGAACCTTATGTGACTGGGCTGGAAAATGGAGGTAAGGACTTTGCAACGAGAAAGATTGGACATTTAGAAGATTATATCTTTGTAAACACATTTCTGTTATAATAATGTACATAATGTTTGTATTTGCAGAAATGTTTTACTCAATGGGTCCTGCAGGGATGAGTAATAGTGTTACATCTGTTCGCTCTGGAAGTGAAATGTCAGACAGTGATATGGAGTCTTCTTCTCATAGTTATTCTAGTCTCTCACAGCCCACAGTATTAACTGCACAGGTAATGTGTGTCTTTGTGTGTTTTTAATGTTCTGTAGCTATAAAATATAATTGGACACTGAATTTATTTCATCAGGGAATGGTGAATTGTCCAAGACGATATCCAGTAGCTGGCTGTTTGTCAAGTCTTCCACAAGCCACCACAAGGCTGAGAGGTACTTTAATTCAATTTTACATTTTATACTCAGGGAAATCTAGAAATTCAAAAACTTGTATGTTTACTTGTTGATGCTCGGCGCAGGACGATCCCGCAGCAGCCCGACGGAGCATATGAAGCCTGATGCTCTGCTGCGTCTGACGCTGGGTGGACTCACACTCACTCTTCTTGAAGAGGACCCCTCCACCAGCAGCCAGGGGCCCGCGGCATTAGCCCTGATGTCGCAGGTCTTCTTCAAAGAGCTGGCCTCCTTTAAGGACAGCATGTTTAGTGAAAGAGACTTCCACCATCTAAGGGTTAGCTTTGCTAAAGCCTGTCCACATTCCCACCTCAGGTACAGCTCCTCTGGGTTCATTTTTAGCAGATCTTGATAATCTTCAGTTTTCCTTTTATTTGCAGGTTAACTGGAGCGGCAGTGCAGGTTTCTTGTGAAATGCGGAGTGGCAGGCGCTGCAGCCGGGCTGTGACTTCTGACCTCTCCTTCAGCAGACTGGAGCTGCTGGAGTGCCTTTGGCAGGAGGACCAGCCACAATACAGTGAGGTACAAAATGTCTTGTCCAAATGATTTAATCTTTAGGTCATCAGCTCTTCGTGTTAATGATTTACAATGTGTAGACTTAGTTTGCAAGTGAGCTTCTGGGAATTGTCATTGTTTAAAAAATCACATTTTCAAACTCCAACTGTAACAGTTTAATTCTGTGGACTGCTCTCTACTGAACTGTGATCAAAGCATGGGAGCACTATGTACCAGGTGTGCAGAGCCACTTGTAAGCTACTTCTCTATCTCAGACAAAATGGTAAGAAAATGTGAATTTACAGGCCTGAAAAGTTCAAAAGACGTGTTAGAACACTTAAATTACCATCAAATGTTTGGTTGACATCAGTCAACAGTAATAAATGAAAACGATATACTGAATAGGATTTAGTTATGCCAGACATAACTAAATTAAATATTAAGTGTCACAAATCCATTATTTACCACAGTTCGTTTAGAAAGCCCATTAGTGCAAGTAGTTTAGTGCTGAAAGGATTTATTTTTCATGGAGAAGTCTCACGTTGAGGCAGATGCTTAAAAATTTGGGAGTGCTTCTGTACCAAAGTATTCCATAGTCCACAGCATGGCGGCCGCTGCGGCTAAAAAGATGGACCCCCACTCATCTGATCTAGCCCCAATTGAGAAAGTTTGGGCCATGAAGAGGATGACTGAAAGAAGTTGCACTGTTTAGAAATACAGTGCGCATATTCTAAGAGTCTCTTATCATTGATGCTGCACAGAGAGTGGATTTCACTCAAATTAAAAAGCTGACTGGTTCATGATAATAAATTAGCAAACACTCACTTTTACATAACTTCACAATCGTATGTTTCCCTTTTCCTAACTTAAAAGTAAGTTATGAATGTCTGCAATCATTTTAACAGAATGAAATTACTGCTATTTTTGATGATTCTTCCTCATGAGGGGAACTTGCATGGTTGTTCTGTACACACTTTATATAGTTTATGCTCAAAGCGTGTAGCAATAATGTTTAGTTTTGTTTCCTGTACTTGTCTTTCAGCTGATTCAGTTTCAGAAAGCTGGTTTATTCACGGTGGGGTCTACAGCCAGGCCGTGTGCTCAGCTGCACTACAGCCTCAGTGAAAAGCAACAGAGGAAGGTAATTCTTGTACTGTAAGCGATGTACAGTTAAAAACATAATGCATTTTGCTTATTTGACCTCCACCAGAAAGTTAGGTTACCTGCATTTGTCTGTTAGCAACTCAAAAGGTCATCAGCTGATTTTAACAAAATGTTAGGTACACATTTTGGCAGTAGTCCTGATGACCATCTGAACCCAGGATTATTTCTTCATTTGTCTCACTTAAAAAAACCTTCTGGGCTCTATAAAGTTATGTATTTTTAACACAAAGGCATATTTCACAAACTTAAGAAATATGTTTTTCGCTCATAGTTTTAGTACAAGCATAGATTGATTCTGACTTACTCTGATTTGGTTTGTCTTTCTAGGGGAAACAGCGGGTTTTGAGAAGAGAGAGTGTTGTACGAATTGAATTGGCAGAGCTGACCACTGAGCTGGACCTGGACATCCTGAGTCGTTTACATAACCTGAGCACAGCGTTCAGCCACTGCCCATCTCACAGTTCAGGCTCCGGACAAACACAGGTCTTACATACTTCTCAAATGTGGCAAATGTTACTTCTTTTGTGTAGATTTACATATCCTGTACCTTAATTCCCGTCGACTAATATTGTAAAGCTCCTTCAACCCAAACTTGGACATCATGATAATATAAGCTTTATTATCAACAGAATTATTACCCTTGTTCAAATTTTAACTATTGTGATACAAGCATATAACTAAGAAGTAACACTTTCTAGTTCCTAATCTTTCTTTTATTATATATTTTTCCACTATTATGTCAAGCATTTTTTCTAGTGGTTAAAATTCAATCTTGATACGAAGTGCTAAACCAAAAAATATTTGCACATCAATAAAAAGACACGTACGCATAAAACCAGGGACGTGCGGTGAGGTTTGTGATTGGGGAGGCACTGACTTTAAAAGTCAGATTTACAATCATTATTCAAATAAAATAGCATTTAATCACCAATGCAATGACATCCACAAACTTTATATACTGTAAAGATAAGAGAACCAGCTTCTTTTAATAATCTCACAACAAATCTAGCTGCTGACTCTGCTCCGCATCAAACAACATCTTTAAGAAGCGCAGGTGCGAGAGACGCGAGGAGAGAGAGACGCGAGGAGAGAGGAGCAGAGAGAGACAGAGAGGAGCAGAGAGAGACGGAGAGGAGCAGAGAGACGGAGACGCGAGGAGCAGAGAGAGACGGAGACGCGAGGAGCAGAGAGAGACGGAGACGCGAGGAGCAGAGAGAGACGGAGACGCGAGGAGAGAGAGACGCGAGGAACATAAACATAATTTAAACAAGTTGCAGAACTCTTGAGCAGTGTTTGAATCAGTGTTTTTCGGAAAAGCACTACTTTGCCGGTATCTGTCAATGTTCAACATAAAAACACAGATTAACAAACTCCTCCCCCGCAGCCGGACTAACCTCGTAAGTCCAGTGGTGGTCTCCCAGTCTATATTAATTCTTTCTTTGTTTGAAAGTCCAATTGAGAAAAAAAATCTTCATTCAAATCATCCATTTTCCAGCAAAAGAAATAGCATTTTGGGCTGATTGTTTGTTAGCAACTCTGGTATGAACTTTATGCTCACTATCACCCCTAGCGGTGAGGCACAGATACCGCCTGCCTCACGCCAAGCTTTTTCCTTGTGTGTTCATCTACGATCAAAAGACTTAAACTAAATATAAATTGTACACACATACGTGCAATACACTACTAAACACTAAGAGGAGTTTAAAAAATGTTTTTAAAGCAGGATATTTGAAACAAACGGTGATATATCAACTGCACGAGCTGAGTGCACTCAGACACACACACACACACACTGTGAGGGAGCGGTCTGAGGTGAGGCACGCAGGAGCGCTGCCTCACCTCGTCTCTTTGAATAGGAATAACGGGATTTCGGCGATTTTGACTTCAGAAATGATCAAAACTGATGGGAACCGTGCCGAATATACATTAAAAGCATAGGACAGTGGATATAAATTATATATTTAAACTAAAATAATTATTAGTTTCCAATAATGGCAGGTGAGGCTCTGCCTCCCCTGCCTCCCCTGACTGCACGTCCCTGCATAAAACTCCTCCTTAGAATCTTTCAACATGGTAGTCTGTCCTATGAAAAATTATCCGCTAACATATTGAGTATATGTCAAGCATTTGTGTTTCAAAAACTCTCCCTCTTCTTCATCTTCGTAGACCCAGAGCAGTGAGCTGTATTCCTCCTTTTCGCTCCTCTCTCCTCACGCCGTCCTCAGATTGCGCTTTCCTATACCAGACCTGCGGCCTCTTTCAAAGCGCAGACCTCCTACTCAAAGGGCAGTTCGTCAAGAGACTTTGGTTCTGGAACTGTCTGAACTCGAAGTCAAACACCAAGGAGCTCCCGACCTGCAGGAGCAGACTGTCCCAGGCCAGCCCTGGACCCCCAGCCTCACGCAGCTGCTCGAGGCTTCATTTACAGACCTTCATGGTGGGACATTTATGTTTACTCTGCTCTAAGATAAATTGGATTACTAGTTTAAGAAATAAGTTTTGCTTACAATCTGTTGTTTTTATTTTCCAGGTTCATACGAGGGCTGGGAAGGAGGATCTTTTCCATGTATCAGAATACAGAAGATTAGGGACTCTGTTCCCAAGTAGGAAGCCTGTACTTGTGTTATGAGTGCCCTTGCTAATGTTAAGAACTAGTGCTGTGTAAACACTCTCTTGTTGTGAGCAGGATCTCGGTGCGTGTGCATGGAGGTGAGAACGATGACCCGACAACAGGAATAGGAGGCCACAGCAGAGACCAACGAGCCGCCTTCTTTGAAAGCCATTGTGAACTTCAGGATAAAACCAGCTCTCCTTTCTCTTCTAATCGGACAATGTTTGAAACGGAGGAGGTGCGAGAAAAAATTCTCATTGTTTACTGGGTTTTGTTTTATTTATACTATTTCTTTGCATCAGATGGTGATTCCTGCTGATGCAGAAGAGATGAGACAGTTTCAAGCCCAGTGTGTGGCTCATTGTCAGTGTGCTGTGGACTTCAGCTTGCCTTTGGTTTACATCCTGTTACCCAGCAAGCAGGCCTTTCAGAGTATCTACAACAGGTTTGTTTCACAATATTGCAACTCACTTTGCTATCTCTTTTACCTCTTTACATATATATATATATTTAGAATCAATAACGATCTTCTGATGTGGGAATCGCCACCCCCTCCTTCAGACAAGAAACCTGATCATAGCCATAGATATGATGAGTTTCATCTCTGCAAATCCGCTTTCAGACTGGGTGAGTTCGACTACAGTAAAATACATGAACCCGCGTTCCATGTGGTACAGTATGTGTTTGTGCAGACTCTGACTCGGAGGAGGAGGAGCCTTCTTACCACTCAGCCAATGAACGCTCTGGTAAAGCTCAGACAGCCGCTCGTCCTGGTCATACCCTCAGCCTCTTGTCCTTGACCGTGGTCATTGACAAAGGTCGCCTTCAGGCTCGGACTGATGAGAAGGTACTCTGCTCTTTATTAATGCTGTACTTGAACTGTAACTGTTGTGATTCAAGACTGAACTTCTGCTTTAACCTTCAATAGGAAGAACAGGGTCAAGGAGAGTTTGTGTTGGACCTTGAAGAAGGGAAGATCTTCAGTGTGGCACAATATCAGAATGATCCTAACCTAAACTACCTATGTGTGGAAAGCAGAAAAGTTGAGCTCTACCATCAAGGTAAATATATACAGTTATCTTAATGAGGATGAAAGGAAGAAAATGCATTCGCAATATTAATGATTATTCAACAAAATGATTCCTCCTTTTTTTTCAGCTGTTGTTAAAGACCTCTTAGTGCCTCCACGCCTGGACATCTCACAGTTTCATCCTCCAAAACACCTCAACCAGACCATTTATCCGACAGAAGTTGGTGTAAGCAGTGTCAGTGGCAGAGAAGCCGATACAATGATGTTGTCCACTGCTATTAAAATCACACTTGACCAACAAAAGAATGTTAAGGTTGGTCTTCATCTTGCATTTGTTTTATTTTAATGTTTTAAAACTAACTTTAATGAAAACTCTTTGTTATCATGGTTTCTAGGAATTTCTTGTTGCTCTTCGACTGCAAGGAGCCACCATGAGACATTACATGACACATATAGATCAAAGCTGGCATGAACAGGTGAAGATATCAGGATAAAGAAACCATTTTATTACATTAGCACAAGGGTCTTCAACCTTTTTTGATCCAAGAGCTACTTTTACACATCAGAAATGGGAGAGCTACTCCTTCTTACAGTCATTAATCAGGGAGAACACACATGCATAATATACCATTATACTGTATAATCCTACATTAGTTAAAAGTATGTATTGACTGAATGTAATTATTCAGGATCATATGTTTAAATTCTTGAATCCTTTGGGAGGGTGGCTCCCTCTTCCAGGTAGCTCCCAGGTTAGTCCTGAGCTAAAGGTTGGAGACCTTTGCATTAAGACATGGGAAAACGAATTGTGTATTTTTTAATTATGGTAAAATGTTGTAATTGCACATATAATTTCTACGTTCCAGCTTGTTGACTTTTTTGATGTTATTGATGATCCTATTCTGGGATACACTTCTCCCGCTGTCATCACTGTTCTCCATACGCAGCTTGCTTCATGTGCTGTTGACTACCGGTAAATGTTTATCCATTTTATTTGCATCGGTTTCTTGGTATCCAAAAGTACTACAATCCCCTTTCCATTAACAGACCACTGTATTTACCACTGCGAGTGCTGCTCACAGCAGAGTCCTTTTCTCTGTCCAGTAATATCATAGTTGACACGGCAACATTTCACCTCAGGTACTTTTTTTTATGTTTGTAAAGTTGTAAAGTAAATATCACTTAATTTAAACAAACAATATCTTTGAGCAGATTTATTCTTGATGATTCTGCCCTCTACCTCTCTGACAAATGTGAGACCAACACGGTGGACTTGAGAAAAGGTAATATCATTTTAAGATAATGATGGTGGTTATCGTTTTTCTGCTCAACCAAAGACATGATGCAAACTGCGTGTCACTTAGATTACGTGTGTATTCTGGACATCGACTTGTTGGAGCTCGCCATAACCACATGGAAAGGAAACTCTACCGGTAAATTGGTGAGTAACAATTTGGCAAAAAATTAATGAAATAATAAAACGCTCAGCTTGAGTCAAAAATACAATTCACTGACCTCTTTGAAAATGCCAATACAGAGTAGGGAAACGGAATACATTAAAATGTTGTCATCACTGCACATTTAGTCTTTTTATGTTTAGAACTGTTTTCCTTGTTGTCAGTCAGAAAATAGGTTGAAATGCATGGGTAAGTTATCAAGCTCCCAGAAAATAATGGTAATAGTTGTTGACAAGGCAAGTTTATTTGTATAGCACAGTTCATATACAAGGCAACTCAAAAATAGCTTTACAAACAAGATAGACATAATCATACAAGGCATTAAAATCATAAATTACATTACATTAAAAAGATACAATTGTTCAGTTGTATGCACATCTAAACAGAACCGTTTTTAACCTGGATTTGAACTTTGTCAGAGAAAGGTGTGGTGTAAACGGCACATTATTTCACACAACCGCGTAAACTCATGAACAGGTTTCTTTCCTCTGTTGCTTTCATCATGTCACACTTTCTTGCACAGACCCAGCCACTGTTTGAGCTGCGTTGTTCTAATAACGTGGTCCACCTTCACACCTGCGCTGACTCCTGTGCTGCTGTGGTCAACCTGCTGCAGTATCTAGTGTCTCAGGGCGACTTGCACCCTCCTCCGCGTCACGCCTCCCCCACAGAGATTGCTGGCCAGAAATTACCAGTAAAGCTTTAATGACACTCAAGCTAAATTGTAGAAGCAGCGTGGCGTTTTCGGTAACTGTGTGTATAATCTGTGGTTAGCTGCCGGAAAGTCCTGCGTCTGTGGTGGTTTGTCATCCAGCTGAGACTGCAGAGATTAACCAGTGTGACCTGACAGACGCCTTAATCGACACAGAGAAGAGCCACGCAGAAGAAAGTTTGGACGCTGGTAACTTTTATTTGTCTTGTATTCATAAGTGTTCGAACATAAAAGTTTTTGGGTTATTCGCTGTGAGAAGTACAAGTAACATATACTCAATGCAAACAATATATTGAGGCCTTGATTGGAAAATTCAAAAACATTTTAAAAGTCAACTTACTTTTGGGGTTCTCTATCTATTTCTGAATGTCATTTACACTGAAGATTTTTTTGTTTTATATTTCTGGCACAGTAGCTTTTTCATTAAATTGATATTTTAACTACTCGCAAATCTTAATTTTGGACTGTCAAATATGGAAAAACTAGGGATAATAATATCTCCCTTAGATGGGACAAGATCTTGTGCACGTGGAATATAATTTAATCAGATTCTTTTCTTGTCTGTAACCCATTTTGAGGCAGATGTAAAGCTGTATTCTCAAATAGCTTGAATATACAGTAGATCTTCAACAGTAAAACAGTAAAAACATATAATTGGTGTAGACACACAGTGGTAAAGCCCAAACTCCAGTCTCCTGTTCTTTCTGGTTTCTACAAGCGCTTGTTCACTTACCATGTGTGACTGTGCAGGCCCAGGTGCTGTCCCGCGAGGCTCCCCTGTCTCTGTGTACCTGTTTCCCGGTGAGGCATCTAAGCAAAGTCCCACCGGTCTCCCAGCCGAAGAGTCTGAGCTGGATGAATTGGTTTCTACGGCGACAGAAGCTCAGCCGGACATGACTATGTCTGATGAAGCTTCAGACGGCTCCACGGACAATGACGACTTCTGCATTTTGGAAGCTCCAGGAATGGGAATTCTTGTAAGTCTGATATTACCGTTTGTCTTCTTCTGCTGCGCAACACCCAAAAGGGTTAGAAAGGTAACGTAAAGATATACTTGCATCATTGTAATTCAGTAAGTGTTTTTGGAGTTATACATTTTTTTAGAGAAACTGTCCCATTTTACTGTCTCATGGCTCTTACATCACACATAACATCTCTACATCAGCTGCTCTCAGAAATTTAAACTCACTAAACTGTACCAGACATAAAAGATTACCCAAATCAAAAACAGAAAAAGACTTGAAGTCGGGTCGATGTATAGAAGGTGTCCTGGAATCAGGAGCTCATGTAGCAATACCTTGGCATCTAAAGAGCTAAAATAAAACCAGACTTTGAGTAGTATTTTTAATTGGCACTTGTTTTAGCCATGTAACGTTATTTTCACACTGATGCCTTTCAATCTTCTCATTGCCTGCTGTTTAATTCTCTATTAATCCCCTCATAGCCCAGAGATGGGGAGCCGGTGGTCACAGTTCTGGCCCAGGGTCCCATTCGACTGAAAGAGAGTCATTTCTCCAGACCCAGAGGCAGCTCCGACCTGCTTCGCGCTCCCAGCCGCTTCCCCGTGCCCAAGAACAGAATGGTGCTGCGCGAGATTTCTGTGGTCTGGCATATTTACGGAGGAAAGGATTTCGGAGGCAAATCCGGACCTATACAAACTCCAAATGTTTACAGGTAAAATAATATAAATCACTTTAAAACTGCAAATACTGTGGCGCAAAAACTGTAGTTTTTCTGTGGCGCAGGGCTCGTTCAGTTCCTGCCGGTGTTAGAGGATCTCCGTCTCGCACTGTGGGATCTTCTCGTCCCCAAAATTCCTGGCGTGGAGCTGGAGGCAGTGGGCGCCAACACTCGATGCTTATGGAGATCCAACTCACCAAGGTGTGCAATGAAACTGAATAAAACTATCCATTCATAATAATTATTTGGGTCACAGTGTAATCCAAAACCAAAATAATTATGTTGGCATATCAAGAGCAAAATGTAGTCTTATCTCTAACGTTTTTACTCACTGGAATCCTCAACTAATGTGTATTTTACAGTGACCTGTCATCACAATCATAAAATCTGATCCTCTACATGTGCTTCACTTTCATGTTGCTTAAGCTGCGTGTTAGATCATGTGATCATGTGTTTGTTTAATATATTTATTGAATATGTTTACACAAATACATAGTGGCAAGGGCGACAGTAGCTCAGTTGGTAGAGCATTGGCCTTTGGGCCTGAAGGTCGTGGGTTCGAGCCCACCGTAAGACCTACTTTACGACTCCCATTGATGACTGCTGTCGTTGTGTCCTTGGGCAAGACACTTAACCCTACTTTGCCCAAAGCCCCCACTGAAAGATCTCAGCTCCTGTGGACTCACCACCTGCAGGAGGATCAGTGAGGGGCTGGTGCTATGTGTACTGGGTGCAGCTCTGACTGCCACCCCCCCGACCCAGAAATGGATTAAGGGGAAGAAAATGGATGGATGGATGGAAATACATAGTTTGAAACATATATTTATCAGATTAGCAAAACTTTTGCTGATCATTGAAGTGGATGGAAGAACGGCTGAGAGCTCTTTTTCACATCTGAAAATACTAAATGAATATGAACATTTGTAATGGAACCCAAAAGTTAGTTACCCCAGCTTTAAAATAGTCATAAGAACAAAATAAATGTTTGCATGACAAACATTACTACGAATTTAATTTGGCTCATGGTTCAAACAAGTAAATATTAATACAATGTTTACTATACAAGTACACACAATAGACATTTAACAGTGGGGGTTAAAGTGACAGTAGGTTAAAGTGACGGTCGTAAAGGACAGGGATCTAGTGACAAGTTATGAAGCGTTCATGAGTCTGACTGTAGAAGGGAAAATTCTTATGAGAAAAGAGAAAGGTTCTTATGGTGTTTCTGCTCCCGATGGATTAAACATGTATAAGATCCTTCTCCTTAAATCCTCCCCAAAATGCAGTATGAGACTGAAAGTTCAAAACCAGTGAAAACAAGATCAAAGTCGACAGTTCTCCAACAAAGTGTGTAATTACTGCATTTTTTTTTATCCGCTGCAGGTTTCGTTCCAACATGAAACCTACTTGGAGGGAGACGCAGCAGGAGCAATGGGGCTGAGCGGAGAGCAGCCACTGTCCCGACAAGTGTTCATAGTCCAGGAGCTGGAAGTGCGCGACCGCCTGGCCTCCTCGCAGATAAACAAATTCCTCTACCTCTACACCAGCGAGAGCATGCCACGACGAGCCCACTCCAACATGGTGAGAGACCACTGGGTATACTCTGTGTGACAGAAGGGAAATACAGCAATGGGTAGAAGTATTATGAATATGCACGTTCTGATATGATGCATACTTTGTTTAATAGTTAAGAATAAACGACTGTAGGTTTATGATTGTTGATCTTAATAATTATACTTTGATGCTACACTAGTTTAAGGATAAGCACTTGCCAGTTTCTCAAATTAAAGTATGTACCTCCTTTCCTGGCAGGGGATTTCGGAGGAGGGGAACTTAAGGTTCATAATTGTTATTGTAAGAAGCCCCTCTCAATGAGTAAATGAGAAATAAGTTTGATGATAACTGCAATTGATAGTTGTTGTCGATGAGAAAACATGACCGGTTTTCCTTTATAATGATCCTGCTACATTGTGGGTAATCTTGCCAGTCATGTTGATGTGTCCTTGGTAAATGCTACATGCAAACCAGGCAGTGAACAGTTGAAACATAACTTTGGTGGTGGGAGATGACACGTAGTCCTGGCAACACCTAGGAGAAGTTGTACCAGAAGTGCAGTACCGGGGTGAAGTGCAGCCACAAATAAAAGTTCCCTTAAATTGTATATATTCCTAGTTTTTAGGAAAATAACTGTATTCTTAACACAACTAATTATGTGGGCTCCTGTACCTGGAATACAGAAAGAAAAAAAGTCTGAATGCATATTTTAGTACATTTGATATGATTTCAGCTGACGGTGAAGGCTCTGCAGGTGTGTCCAGAGTCTGGCCTTGGTGGTCCGGAATGCTGTCTCAGGGTCAGCTTGTTGCCTTTAAGATTAAACATCGACCAGGTAACTAAATAAACATGTGGAGGAGTGTTTGTTCTGTGTAATGGTTTCTAATATTGTCTGTTTTCTGTCTAGGACGCACTCTTTTTCCTGAAGGATTTTTTTAGTAATTTAGCGTCCTCCGTTAACCCGTATCTTCCCATGGACCCAGCCACTGAAGGTAGGCCGTTTGAATCTATCCACAGTATTTATTTCTTATTTTAAACCTGTTGCAGAGAAATGGAATCTTGTTTATGTTTTGTAAACAGTAAAAGCTGACTCCACACAGAAGGAGGAGGTCGACACTGGCCTGGGGCTCGATCTGTCGGCGTCAGTGGAAACTACCTTCAGTGAAAGAAGCACCTCTTCTGCAGGCTCCACCTCCTCCACTGAACAGCCCATCTATTTCCGGTAAAGTCACAAAGTCTTGATTTTAGTAGATTCTAGAAGTATATTTTTATTATCTATCTATTCTCTATTTCAAAATGATTAAATGTTCAATTAAAAGTGTGAGATTGCTTTTTTTGTGTAATAAATAGTTAATCCATTTGCTTGGACTGTACAAACATCAGATTCAGATTTATTTATTTGCCATTTGCAGTAAAACCACATTGGAATACATTTGCAAAAGTCCCCAGTGTGCACAAGTACAGACATAAAACAACATTAAACATACTCAAAGATAAGCTTCTGAATACATTTTTTTATTGCACTTGTTTATGGAATTATTTTGGCAAGTTGCAACAATGCAAGTGAATGTATTGACCCTTTTTTTAGGGAGTTTCGTTTCACCTCTGAAGTGCCTATTTGGTTGGATTATCACGGCAAACACGTTGTCATTGAGCAGGTACACTTTCAAGTTTAAGTATTTTCTGTATTTATTTAGTAGAAGACATTGTGCTTCGGTCTGGTATATATAGTTATTGTCTGTCATTAATAATTACAGTGTCTACTGTACTGCAGATTTTTCACATTTGATTAAAGAAGTAGCTCAGTGACAGTAGCTCAGTTGGTAGAGCATTGGCCTTAAGCCCAGAAGGTCGTGGGTTCAATTCCCACCTCTGCACCTTCTCCACCGACTCCCACTGATGACTGCTGTCGTTGTGTCCTTGGGCAAGACACTTAACCCCACTTTGCCCAAAGCCCCCACTGAAAGATCAAGGCTATGCTCACACTCAGAGAGCAGCCGTCCTCCTGTGGACTCACCACCTGCAGAGGGTCAGTGAGGGGCTGGTGCTATGAGACTTGGGTGGCATCTCTGACTGCCACCCCCCTGACCCAGAAATGGATTAAAGGGTAGAAAATGGATGGATGGAAAATGGATGGATTAAAGAAGTGAGATTTCTAACTATGAGTTGGTTTGTACAGTGTTATGACCCCTCACCATTAGCATGTATGTTTAACCCTCTCTATTAAATGAACCAATTATGAGTTACATTCCATTCATTCCTATCTTAATTCATAGGAAGGAGCGTTCCTATCTTAGGTTGTTCAAGAGGCTCTTGGGAATGTTCATTGCTAAGATAGTGTACATTGGACATGTTTGACAGTTTTGAGGAAATCTTAATTAAATGTTTTCTGTTTTAGGGAACGTTTGCAGGCATTTTGATTGGCCTGGCACAGTTAAATTGCTCAGAGCTAAAGTTGAAGAGGCTCTGTTGTAGACATGGGTAAATGTTTTATAAATCTTAAATTGACTACAATAATGCATAAAAACATCTCTGAAAAAGGACTTGATAGTAAATAGTTTTTTTTTTTACACTTGCAGTCTTCTTGGTGTTGACAAAGTGATCCAGTATGCCGTCACTGAATGGCTGGCAGATATTCGGAAGAATCAGTTGCCGGGGATTTTGGGAGGTGTGGGGCCGATGCATTCTGTTGTACAGCTTTGTAAGTTTATAACTGTACTTCGACTTAACAAGGAATAAATGATTAATAAACTTTTTAAGGATGAATGATGGCACTGTTTGTTTTCAGTTCACGGAGTGCGCGACTTGTTCTGGTTACCTATAGAGCAATATAGAAAAGATGGACGCATTATTCGAGGTCTCCAGAGGGGGGCAGCTTCTTTCGGCACCTCTACTGCCTCGGCTGCTCTGGAACTGAGCAACAGGCTGGTCCAGGCCATACAGGTATTAGAAATAAGAAAGCTAACTTCAAACTTAGCGTGACTTTTGACGAACAATTCTTCTGTCTTCTTTGAAAGGCCACTGCAGAGACGGTGTACGACATCCTCTCTCCGACCCCTCCTCTGAATCGCCTCGCCATTACTGAAGGACGGGCCACATCCAACCGGTCACGACGAACAGCGCAGCCGGCTGATCTGAGGGAAGGAGTGGCTAAGGCTTATGACACCGTCCGAGAGGTACAGCCCTGAACTAAGCAAGATCTAGAGCTGCACTATAAATCACAATGGAATTGAAATTGCTATTTTGGTGACTGTAGTTAGACAATCTCAAAGACTACGATGACTTAAATTACATTATTTCATTTTCAAACAGAAAATCTTATTTTATAAATCTTGCTATCGCTGTGATGAGACTGAAACAGGCTTAGAAACAAGTATTTATTTTTCTTTTCTTCTTATGTCTGTGTGAATGTAGGGATTATGTTTAACAAACACAATTAAAAATATTGTTAAAAGAAAAGAAACACTGCAAATGTCAAAACAGGCTCATAAGCATTTCTCTTACTTTTAGCGCCTTTTGACTATTTTCTTTGCTGATGGAAAATGCACGTTTGTTACTGGATTTTTATTTGATTTCAACAAATGTTATCTTATACATATTTTAAAGATCAGTTTTCCTTCTAATTTGATTTCTCCTGTTGTAATTGACCAAAGAAACAATAAAGATAAGAAAAACATTGCAACTCCAATTGTAATCTTTGTAATAATCTGTTCAACTTTACCTTCTGTGTTTAGGGAGTGATTGACACAGCGCAGACTCTGTGCGATGTGGCCTCTCGCGGACACGAACAGAAGGGTCTCCCCGGTGCTGTGGGCGGGGTTCTGCGGCAGATCCCACCCACTGTGGTCAGACCTTTGATAGTGGCGTCCGAGGCCACCTCCAATCTTCTCGGCGGCATGAGGAACCAGATCAAGCCAGACGCCCGAAAGGAGGACTTTCTTAAATGGAGAACAGAGGACAGCCAAGACTGATTGAAGAAATGTTTGTGTGAAAGTTTGTATGTGCTGATTATTATTTACTTGAAGGGAGCAAATGCAAGGTTTAACAGTGTATTTGCATGTACAGTCTGTGTGTATGGACTAACACAAATCTGTTAAAGTAATGCAAAAAATAAGTAACCACACTAGTATTGCAGTTACTAACATCATCTGTTTAAGTAAATACCACTTTTGTTTCTCTTATTCATGGGTCACTTTCTGCAATTTGCGATATCACACCAGGCCTCGTACTAAATCCTGCATAACTAAATCTCTTTTTCTTTTTGAACGAAGAATATGGAGGAAAGGCCGGTCTTCTGCTTCAAAATGACTGTTATTATGTCTGAATTTATGATCTCGTCATTATTGAAACAGTATTACCAAAATACATGTGGGCAGCACCTTGTTGTGACTGCTCAGTGTTCGCAGGGGTCTGTTAATGGTGATAACAAAAAAAAATATCTTCTATGCATTTGTTTATTTGTGCCATTTATTACTGTCATCGTTAGTGATTGTTTGACTGAATATTTTAACCAAACGATTGTCTTTTCCACTTTGATCTGCTTTTTCTCTTTCCTGACAAAACTTCCTTTTTGGTAGTAACTTGTAAAACTAGATCTGTTGGAATCTTAACTGCAGATTTGGCCATGATTGAGCTTCATAAATGCTTTGGTTATTTCTTGAATTGCCTTGTTCAGCATTTTAATCGTATGTTTTCTTGTTGTTATTTGTTTGGGAACTGAACATATGAAAACAGATGTCTGGGTTTTACATGTTTTTTATTGTTTTGAGAATACATAAGAGTGTGTCTGTGTGTGTGTGTATGTGTATGTGTGTGTGCTGGTGTGTGAGAATGACTGGGGGTACTTTGCTTAAATGTAAACTGTGTGAATGACTTCTATTGATACGAAAAGAAGGTGTATACAATATAAATACTAAAACAGAATAAAAAAATTAAAATGGTGTCTTTCTTCATTATTAAACGTTATAATCACTGTAAATTCTGAAAAAAACCCTCGATGATGTATGTTATCAATTATAATTCACCTTCATGTTGCAAATACCTTTTTGTTATTGCACATGCAGTTGAACACTGCATTTCCTGAATTCTTTTTAGATAAGGGTTAGATACACACCTGTAATATACTATATACAAAACTTTTATGCTATAACACTACTCTCTATACAAAGTTTGAAGGCTTTGTATTTGGTATACAATAGAATATTTTTGATACTTCAACTCTTGTCAACTCTACCTCATCATCATAATGCTGCAATGTATAGAAGTTATTACCGCTTACAAAACAAGTGCTGGTGGAACTTGCACCTGAACGAAAATATTTCTCGGGAAGTTATTCGTGACGGACCAAAAGCTCTTCCGGTCCCCATGTAAACTCGTGTGTTTACTAAAAGATTAGATTTTGTAGTTTTTCCATTAAGGATTTTAAGATGAAGTTACTTACTCACAACATGCTGACTTCTCATGTAAAGGGGGTCACGAAAGGATACCCGCTGCTCATAAAGGTAACCATTATTGAAGGGAAAATTGACAGCTTGATTTTGGTTCAAATAAACCAGTCACGTTCTGATATTTCGCAGTAGTAAATACAAACCATTTGTTTGTGTAAAAAGTGCTTTATAAATAAAATGTGATCGATTGATTGAAATCTTCATTTGTCATGCCAAATTATTTGACTATTACACCATTCTTGACTGACTAAATGATTAAACTATTAAAGATGAAAAAATACACTGGAAGGTGATGTTCAGGTCATACTAGTTTAGCGACCATACACAGAATATCGTTTACATGTTCGCCCCATTCATTTAAGACCATGCAACTGGAGTTTTCCCATGACTCTTTTTTTGTGTAAACATTTTTGCTTAGATGGCATATGGTGTCCTTTCTACATTTTCATCAGTCTGTATATATTTGTTTTGATTAAGGCAACGGAAGTAAAGCTTAATGAGGTGGATTTTAATCCTGAATTTGTCAGTCGGATGATTCCCAAACTGGAGTGGAGTGCCCTTATTCATGCTGCAGAAGAGGTAACTTTATTTATAAGAGACCAAACTTTTCCCTTGTCCATCAGGAAGCCTTGAATAAATGTTGATCTTTGCAGTTGGGCCATCGACAAGACTTGCCAGATGATCTTCCGGATTATGACAAAAATGAAGAATTTCTTAAAAAGGTCCACAAAGCCCTTCTTGAGGTATTATACATATAAATATAATATATAGGCCTCTATAGCCAGATCTTGTTAGACCACTGAAGCTAAGCAGGACAGGGCCTGGTTAGTACTGTGAAGGGAGACCACTGGGAATACCAAGGTCCCAGAGGGGTCAGCTGTAAAGTGCCAAATTGTCATTGTGTCTTTATGCAAGACACTTCACCCACATTGCCTAGAATTAGTCTGTGTGTGCATGAATGGTTGGTTGTGTTTGGAGCGGTTGATGGGACAGTCTGGGTGCCTTGCTTCTGTGTAGTAGTGTGTACAGAGTGAAAGAATAAGGTGTGTTTATTTGAGGGTCCAAAAACTCTAGGCTTAGATAATTCTTCCCTTTTTACAGGTGTGTGATGAAAAGATACTGAGATACCAGGTCATGTGACTGTGCAGTATATCCATCCATCTGATAATAGTCATATCCATCTTTGCTCTGTAGTTAAACTTTGAAAAGGCACCAACTCTAATTGGCACTGATATAATGTATTATTTCGGTTCATTTAATGAGGGCGACAGTAGCTCAGTTGGTAGAGCATTGGCCTTCAGGCCTGAAGGTCGTGGGTTCAATTCCCACCGACTCCCACTGATGACTGCTGTCGTTGTGTCCTTGGGCAAGACACTTAACCCCACTTTGCCCAAATCCCCCACTGAAAGATCAAGGCTATGCTCACACTCAGAGCAGCCGTCCTCCTGTGGACTCACCACCTGCAGAGGGTCAGTGAGGGGCTGGTGCTATGAGACTTGGGTAGCATCTCTGATTGCCACCCCCCTGACCCAGAAATGGATTGATGGATGGATGGTATTTCGGTTCATTTATTTCTGACATTTAATTTATTTGACCCAGGTTAAAAATACTGTATTAACATTTAAGTTTAACCCCCTTCTCTGAATCTCTAATATTGTTCTTCGCTGGCCTCCGACAGTCATTCTGGATATGTTGAATATCCCAAAATAGTTTTGCATATGATGATTTGTATATGATGTCATAATGAATGTAACGGGTCCTCCATATAATGTGATTTCCCATTGAGATGAACGAATGAACCCAGTGCATGTCTGAAAAGAAGTAATGTGGATATCCATACTATTAGCATCTTAATATGCTATCACCACTAAACAGGGATTTTATAGAATTATGTTGAGCTCACAAAAACAAGTCAAATAAAAAGCCTTGCATTTACTATTTTGTTCAGAATAATGCTGAGTTATAACTCATACATACCAGTACTTTCCTTGAGTACTCCTATCATCATCGTTTGATATGCTCAACCCGGTACTCACCAGGTTTCAACCATAAACTATAATTAGAAGAAAAAAAAATATATGCTCAAAACACCTCGTCAGAGCACTTGAAAAACACCAGGCTTGATTTAAATTCTTGTTGTGTGACATTTGCCAAAAATAGGTCTTTTCGATTTATTTTATAATATGGAGGGATTGTTAGACACCAGTTCATGTTATGTTCGTTTACAGGTCGAGGTGATGGAAGGCTGTCTGAAGTGTCCTGAATCCGGGCGGGAGTTTCCCATTTCCAGAGGAATTCCGAACATGCTGCTGAACGAGGACGAGGCCTAAAATTCTTCATCAAAGGCTCGATATATTGAGTTGTTTTGGCGCAGATTCATGCAGGACTTTGATTTGAACATTGGAAACTTTGGACATTGTTTTGGTCGCTTTGCATTTACATATTTAAGTTGTTTCAGACCTCGCCTCACACTGTGCTTTGTTTTTGTTTTTAAGCCCTTGATAATAAAATTCTCTGTTTCCGTGATGACCAAACCCGCTTTGGTTTTTGTGGAAATTATGGACAGGATCATATTACAAACAAGTACAAATAATACCCTTGTTGAATCTTGTGGTGATGCTGAACCCCACCTCAGCCCAGGCAGGGTTAAGAAAGCGCTCGAAGCCAGATGACGTGGCTGTGGCTTTTTCTATTTTGGGACTTTGAGGAAAAAGCTGCTGTAAAGCGGCTAGGCCAGAGGTTGTTTTTTTTTTTTTTTTTTTGCAAGTAGACATTACAGCACTCTTCAGGGCAGATTCCTGATGCCCAAAGGATTGTCTGCTCCTTTTTTAAAAAAAAGTTGGGTTCTTTTAATCTTGCGTTTGAAAGAGAAAATTACTCCTCAGATGTTGCAAGTTGGAACAGGGGGCTTTGTGATTGATGCAATGTTATCATTTTTAGGAGTTTTTGTGGCAAAGACGTTTAAGGGTGGAGGCGGTTTATTGCTCTGATCATAAGCCTTAAAGCAGTTTTAGTCTGTCCTACCTTTCCCTTCTACTTAAGACAATTATAGGCCAGCACCCACAACTATAATAACGGTATAATAGGATGGCAGAGAGCAGCAATAAAACCCACCCTGACAGATTAACAGTGCTGTTGGAAGCTATAATTAAAAATTAGACCGAACGATGGCTGACTCAAAGTACAGAGCTCCTGATAAATGTAGAATGAATACACAAACAAAACGTATGGATGATTGTTGTGATTTAATTTGAGATTCTGCAGGTATCTAGTAGTTTGGTTTTGCTTTTTTGCCGGGATAATTTAATTTAGTTTTAGCTCATTGTGAAGATGGCCCTTGCCTACATAATCACAGTCTCTTGAATTTTGTGGCAGTCCACAGCATAACCACCAGCACCTCTCCCGCCCAGGCGCCGCCCTCTCCTCGGCTTCTGCTGCAGTCAGTCTCCTGCAGCCACTTTCTGTTCAGGGATTTTAGAGGCACACTGAAACCTTGGATCTTTAATTCACTCAAGACTACTTTTTTATTACTATTTATTTATTTTTTATTCCAGACCACAGGGAACTCATTCATAGATTTTCTGCATCATGTCTTTTTGCTGACATTTTCCATGTTTTGATGTTTATATGTGGGGATAAAAAGGCCCACCATGATGTTTCCAATATAAATCAACCGTGCAGCGTTTTCGTTTTAATGCAGCGTGTTTTCCCTTTACCTATAACTGGCAGTGGGAGGATCTCATAAGCTGTGAGAGTTTTGGAATGGGCACATGTGTTCTTCTCATGGGTCTGTCGGAGGGAACTTCACGGGAGCCTCAACTCGCGCACTGAACCGCTGATGATTTACATTATTTGCGACATGGGCTGAGCTACTGCGGCTTTTCTCCACAGCAAGTTCGGGCAGTTCGGAGATGGAGCGCGGGTAATTACAGCAAGTTAATATAGGGCAAGTATATTACTCTTTTCAATCCAAAGGCTGCTTACCTGGAACCAGGTGTCAGGGTGAGATTATTTAGAGACCTAATAAGTGCTGTCTAGGATTTGAAGCGGATTTTTCTTGGTGATATATCAGCCCATAAAAGCACCTCAGGATGTGGCACCTGCACGTGCTCGTGCTGCTGCGCCTTCTCGTAGCGCTTGAGGCGCTGAACACGTGCCAGTCCATTAACCTGGATGAGCAGAAGTCTAGACGCATCGAGGCGGTCCGCGGACAGATCTTGAGCAAACTGCGGATCCGCAGTCCCCCTAAGGATGAGGACGAGCTGGCCCCGGCCCCGGTGCCCTCGGAGGTCATGCTGCTCTACAACAGCACGCGGGAGCTGCTCAAGGAGCGCGCGCGCCAGGCGGAGTCCGCGTGCGACCGCGAGAGCAGCGAGGAGGACTACTACGCCAAAGAGGTGCAGCGGATAGACATGCTCCCTGTGCGCAGCGACAACAGTAAGACTGCAGGGACATGGGTCAAGGAGCCTCCAACAATGTTTTGATTATACATTTATTTGTTTAGTATTGATTACTGTGACTTTCATTCATACAGTACTACAGCAGTACACTGACTGAACAGAGCTGTGTTTCCTCAGATGCCTTGCTGCCTGTGGCTCCAGACCCACACTTCAGAGTCGTCCACTTTGATGTTGGTGCAGTGGATCTGACAAACAGCACTTTGGTTAAAGCGGAGTTTAGGATCTTCAGAGCTCCAAACCCAAAGGCCAAGGCAGCCGAGCAGAGGGTGGAGATCTTCCAGGTATAGACTTGGATCAGTCAAAACATGAAACACTAGATTCCTTGTGTCTCACCGCAGATATGTTGCCAGTGGCCATAGCTCCTGGTCTGTGCCTGATCTTGTCAGAATGAGAAACTGAGTACATTTGGTGACGGCATGAACGGTACCACAGAGGGGCAGCGTATGGGATCAGCAAGACCCCAGGACTGAACATTGTTCTGCCACAGATTAGCAGGCGTTCTCGTGCCAGTCTACCCCAGGACAGCTGTGGCTGTACTTCATAGCTGCTTTTAAAAAGGGGTTAAGGGGTTTCAACCTTTTTCCTCTGGAGAGCTACTGTTTTGGATGAAAGTGAGATTATGTAAACCATTTTAGTGTCTGAAAATGTGCCATTGAACCCATAGTTTAGTTGTACTATAGCTTCAGAAAAACTGAAGTGGCACAATCGTTTATGCTTATCACTATTTATGTGTGCATGTTGTAAAGACATCTTTGTCAATAGTTACTGAGGCCTGATGAAGATAGCACTTCAACACAGCGGTACATTGACTCCCGGACTGTCCAGACAAGAGCAAAGGGATCCTGGATTTCTGTGGACGTCACTGAGACTGTTAAAGACTGGGTGTCTGACTCAGGTAGGTGCAACAGATGCTTTAGGTGCATTTAATATTCCAAATAATGAATCAACTGAATTTGTGTTTATTAGATAACAACTTAGGTTTAAAACTGAGCATCCACTGCCCCTGCTGCACATTTGTCCCATCTACAAACAACATTGTTCCCAATAAGAGCGAAGACCTGGAGGCGCTCTTTGCAGGTGTGCGCTTGTCTCTATTTCAAAAGCTATATAGAAAATCTAGAAGAGGAAATGTTCCCTTAGTCTGTGTCTATTGTCTTGATTCCTTTGCACAGGTGTTGATGATGAGCAACTCCGTCAGATCAGAAAGCCCGGCCAGGTGAAAGGGCAAGCAGATTTCAGCACCAAAACACCTCACCTCATTCTCACACTGCTGCCCAGTGACCGAGTGGATAATCCGGCCAAGAAGAACCGCAAAAAGAGAGCCGCAGCCACCGACGGCATCACCTGCTCCCGGTGAGGGGGAATATTCAGCAGCATGTTTCATTCTTTTCTTGACCAAAGTTCACTCTGTGGACAGTTGTGTATAAAAACATAGTTGAGCGAGTGTTTGGACTGGACACCAGTGCTTTATTTGGACAGTGGAAAACTGGTCTTTCAAAGATGTGCTGTCACTTTCCCATGACTCACTACTGGACCTTTTTTACATGATACTTCTCTTATTTTCAGTGGATCCGATCACAACTGCTGCCTGCGCTCACTCTACATTGATTTCAGACGTGATCTGAACTGGAAGTGGATTCATGAGCCCAAAGGTTATAAAGCCAACTTCTGTGCTGGCAACTGTCCTTATCTGTGGAGTGCAAACAACCACTACAACATGGTAAGTTTGTATTCATGCTGGTTTTTATTAAAAAAAGTAGGCTTACAGCTGTGGGAACTACGTAAAAAAAGTTTAAATTAGTATGCCTTGACCTTTAATTGAGTCAAAAGGGAATTGTTTGTGGCAGCGAACACTGTGGTTGGCTATGAATGGTTAACCTCAGTGTTATAAATGGGCTAACACTTTGCTGAGGGCTTCTTTACAACTCGACATATATGCTTTTACTTGTGCCACATTCACTCAGTGTGTCTCCAATTCACACACGTCTTCTAACTTATTATAGATTATTCTGTGATATTAGTTATGAATAAAGTTAAAATCATTTTCTGACCCTCTTTGCCAGATCCTGCCCCTGTACAATAAGCTGAACCCTGAGGCTTCTGCAACACCCTGCTGCGTTCCTCAAGATCTGGAGCCACTAACCATCATGTACTTCATTGGACGCACACCGCGTGTTGAACAACTCTCTAATATGGTCGTCAAAACCTGCAAGTGCCGCTGAGAATATTAGCAGAACATTTGTATAGGCTCATGGGAAGAACAACAACACAACTTGAACAATTTTGCATCATTTTCCATTTCTTCTGGTCAGCAGCCACCTCTTTGGTGGATACTGTAGAAAAGTACAATATTCTATTAAATAGTTACTTGGATATTTGGAGGTGACTTGTGATTTGGGCTTCATCTTCTTTGACTGCTGCATAATAAGGAGTCTCTTATTTAAGAAATGTTGGCCAAAGAGTGAGACGTGTGCCTGTTTGCTTTAGCTTGAAGGTGTTGATATGAAGGCAGCAGTGTGCAGAGGTCTGCAGACGGTGCACTCAGATCTGTAGGCAGATAGAAGGAGAGAGTTGTGTCCAGGCAGAGGCTTGCCAGTTCTTTGCGGTCCAGGGCTGAAGTCTGGCCGCCGTAAACAGGATGTGAAAGATTTCCAGACATCGAGCCGACCACTCACGGAACGCTAGATTTAAACACTCCCCTCATGTCCGCTGTGTCTCTGTCGCTTGAGGTTCTGGGATTTGCGGTGGAAGGAGAGAGGGAGAAAAGACAGGCTTTGAAAATGAGATGTGGGATGGATGATAGGGCTGGATTTGGAACAACTACAGCTTTGCAAGGCAGTATTTTGCAGCCTTAGCAAATTTGTAACTATTTGGGGCTTGCTCAAACATTCAGCAATCACACTCCCTGACTATCATCAAACGGCACTATCATAAGACAATTGTGATTACATTGTTGTGCCATGTTTATTATTAAGGTCAATGTGTGTGTGTGTGTGTGTAGCCTAAAAGGGAAAAAACGTCTTTGAGGTCTATTTTAAATATAGGCTCTCTGGTATGCCCGTGGTTTGTTTGTCACTGAGGCAATGAGGTCCAATGGGTGTGTGTCCGTGTGAGGTTCTGGGTGATAGCACCGAGGTAATTAATCTTTTATTACAACTATTATTGTGTGCAATTTGTTTTTGATGCCAGATCTGGCTGGGATTTGATTTAATAAAAATATAAACACTGCAATCTGATGAATTTCTACAGGAAATTCATCAGATTGGAGGGAAATGAGTAGATATAGAGGGCTGGACCTGAATTCAGTTACTATTTCCACAGACCTCTGAAGCTAAGAAGGACAGGACCTGTTCAGTTCTGTGATGGGAGACCTCTGGGAACAACAGGAGATACAGTGGAGGCTGTATCTATTTTATAAAGTGCAAAAATGTGTATTCAGGCAAGACACTTTACCTAGTGAGTGGTATGTGCAAATGCAGTTGTAGTTGATCACCACCGTGTATAGGGTGAATTTATACCATGTGAAGGGTCTGAGTGTCCAAAAGCGCTGTATAAAAGTGTTGAATGATTACAAATTCTGTGGTGATTTGTTTTTCTCAGAAAATATAATGAGGTATAACAGGACATGGGAGCACCACACACACTGTATATGGAGCTGCGAGCTTCCTGGTTCAGGAAGTAAAATTCTAATAATTATAAAAGATTGATCTGGCCAATTACCTATCTGCTGGGTAATGATGACAAGAAATACCTAAAACCACTGCATTTTAGTGGGCCTTCATCGTGTCTACAATTCAACAAATGTCTTGATATCTACATTTTTTTAAAATTCCTATGGGGATATTGAATGGGGAATTTTACTTCAGGAAACCTAAGCTTCACAGCTCCATTGAGTTGTGAGCCACAGGTTGGAATAGACTAGTATAGGTGATCCTTGACAATGGCTAGGAAAAAAAAAAACAGTTACAAAACTACAGTTCTATGAATATGTTGCAAAGCCATTTAGACTTTGCTATTGCATATCTGTCAGAAGCACCGCTTCCCACCCTGAGAATATCAAATTATCAACCACTTCAATCACCTTGACGTCCTGGTGTAGGTCAGTCCCCTATAGAAGAGCCCCGCACCATAGCTCTTCTCCTTTCGAACTCAGCCGAAGAAGAGAGGGCAGGTCTGCTGGGCCCGAAACTAAAGGGCTTCAACATATTCATAGAACTTAGGTAACTGGGTTTTCTATTTCATATGTTGCTTCAGCCCTTTAGCCTCTTAACACCTGCCTCATTTTGGCTCGTGCACAAAAGTTGGGCATACCCAAATGTCTTTGCTTATTTAAAAACACATCTTACATGTCACATGCTTGTGTGATGCATCATATTAAAGCTAGAGCCTTCTAGTTTATGTAAATATACACTAAAATAATGTTTGTCATTCCTATTTCACTCTGCATCCTTTGAAGTTTTTTTTTAGCCTCGCCTAAAATGTTTAATGTATAAATGCCCTAAAAAAGGCATACTTCATTGTAAGCTCACAATATTCAAACCCTATGGTCATTGTGTTGCTGGCAACAACTGTCTAAAGTTTCAGACTAAGTTTTATAGTTTATATTCAGTTTCTCTTTTTCATCAAGTAGTGCCATTCGGAACCAATTTGGCACAAAGTGTGCCAAATTGCTTTACTGACATTTCATCATCATAAAAACCATATTTTTTTATTTTTGGTACTTATAAGTGTAATGAGGTTATTGGTGATAAAAGAGCAGATTAAGAACTGTGCAAAATAAAAGTGTTCCAATAAAACAGGAGGAAGGGTAAAATGATTTTAATACAATTTAAAAAGGGTTAAAAATGGTAATTTAAAAAAAGGCTCTGTAGCCACGGCAGGTAGAGGGAGGAAGGGCAGCATTCCCACGTCGTCCTGTCAGGCCCTGCGCGCCGCAGTCGCCGCACCTGGAACAAGTAGAGGCAGAGGGCCGGCTCTCCCAATCAAATCCACCAGGAAGCCCAGGCCTGAGGCCGCTTGATGCAGCGGGAGCTATAGCGGTTGAGCGGTACTCACGGACAGTGAGAGCTCCCCGCTCTCCCGCTGAATGATTTGGCTTGCTCGCTGGTGGTGCTCGCTGCCTCCAGTCCCTCGCCTCTCTTCCCAGCCTGACACGCTGCCCCGCTTCACTTACCTCCTCCAGGGCGTCCAGCGGTGAGCCCCAGCCCTGACGTACAGCACCCAGGATTCCCCCTTTAGCCCAAGGCCTCTACCCACTCGACACCATGTTTACACAGGAGCATAACTCACCAGCAAGGCAGGGTCCAAATGCCCTGCCTCATGTGTAGTCCACATCGTGGTGCGAGGGTCCAGAGCGTGGGTGCCATGGTGCTGGCCTGGTATCGCGCTGGTCCCTCTCCCGGGCCCCCCTCCGCCTCGCTGCACGCCCGTTCTGCCTCCGGTGTCACGCCCGTTCTCTCTCTTCACTGCATGGCCTGTTTTATGTTGCCCCCAGACACAGGTGTACTGATTGTCAATCAGTTGGGGCAGGCAGGTGTGCGGGGTAACCATGGCGACTGGGAGGCATGAAAGAAAAACAAAACACACGGCAAACCAAAACATGCAAACAACAACCACACATGCCATCCCAGTCCACCGGATTACAAAAATTACTAATCTAAAAAAAAAAGTGTGAGTAAATTCATATAATATATACGCTGCTCCAAGAGAAGATCTCTCTCCCTGCCGTTACGCACGCTCCTATTGACACAAACCAACACAGTACCCCATGTCCCACCCATTGCTAGAAGGCTTTCCTTATTGGCTACACAGACATGTCAATCATTCGCCAAAAGAACACTTCCCTAGCCGCCTGGCTAACAAAAAACACAAAGTGACCATGCGCAAAAGGCAGTCGCTTGTTTTACTCACAGAGATGTTGCGAACGAAATCGAGCACGGATCTCTTCGGAATCGTCTCATTTTGTAGCTAACGAGTTGGGGAACACAAGCATACCCTGTGTGTGGGTGAAAAACCAGGCGGAAAGTCAGTGAACAGTGAAAGAGCAGCCTCTGTGCTCTTACAGAACTTTGCACATTTTTTGATTATTTCTCCAGAATGGATTATACTTTGGGGAATACAAGTGGATGTTCTTTTTCCATGGACATTTACGGAGTGAAAGAGCCGTAGGAAGCTGGGAGGAGATCTGATTTATTTATGGAGCACAAGAAAAAAGGTAAAGAACTTTTTCGGAAGTGATTTATTTTGTGCCCATATTATGTGTTATATCTTTTGAATGCAAAGTCTGATATTGTTTAGCCTTGTCGTACCACACCATAGTACAAATGACATTTCATGCTAAGGTCTGGAGGTGCTCCATTGAGCTCCGTTTACAGATAGGAGGGGTTAACTCCTTTTGCAGATTGAAACGATTGGATCTGAGTTTACCGTGACGTATGTAATGCGCCCGAGTGAGTTGTTAGCATTTAGCATTTAGCCTAGCCATCTCCTTTGCTGCTAACGGAGCCCGTGGGGAGTTGTGTCACAATTTTTTCTAGCGATTACATTTGTTAAACATTCCTATTGTTCCGGCTTCAATTTCTTGATAGAACCAGACTGGATTACTTTACTATCGCATTTTTCGCCATTGCCAAACTACAATCTTCCTGTTCGACACAAACTCTTAACGTCAGCCACAACTAACTAGAACACCCTGGTTCAATCTGTCAGGGATGAACCAGACAGAGACGGATCGTGGTGCGCCAAACTCTGGAAGTTTATTTAAGTTTCTCTCAAGTTCCAGTGGTTTAATTTGTTTCTTTCTCTCAGACAGAATAAAGGCAGTACACAGTTTATATAGTCATTGTCACGTCACACATCGAAAGACATACGTGTCACAAAGAGACAGTCACATCATAGTCATAACATGGAGTCCTTGTAGAGTCCTTGTACAGTCCTGCACGTAGGCCATATTGCTATCTAATACTAACAAACCGATTGTAATCGCTAACCCAGGGACCAGACCCAGACGTTACATGCAGTGAAATGATGATTGAGCAGAGTGTACAGATGGCTAAGGCCAGGCTAGATATTGTTTACACTTATATATAAATGTAGATAAGAAAATAAGCTTTAAAATGATATACAGCTTTTGGGGTTTGGTGTTCAAAATGCAGTTGCTATTGCAGCGCGTGGTCCCAATGCAGCACTTGCGCCTCCACGGCATTTCCAAGAACCCCGCCTGCTCCCATGCCGAGAAATAAAATGGTCAAGGGGAGAACGGCGGGGCCAGGCCTACCAACAAGACCGCATATCCGCGTCCCTACAATAGCAAATCTTAAGGGCTGAAGCAGCCTATGAATAGAAACCCCAGTTACCTAATTCAACAATGGATCTGTGAATATGTCCTCGATGGGAGGGATGCCTAACAAACTAGGCCAGGCATCGGCCCACCCCTGGGAGCTCAATACAGTATGAGCGGGGCTTAAGCAGCCTGAGTGCTGCTTAACGAGTGGCCACACTCTCTCTGCCCAAGAGGGGCGCGGTGCTGTAACGGTTTTGGGGCAATCATCCAGCGCATGCTCAAGGTCTGGCTCCGGGGCCTGACGAGTCAGAAGAACCAGGCGAAGCAGCAGCGGCGTAGGTAGAGGCAGGTGCACCATGAGTGAGCGCACCCTGAGCCTCACACCTAGTGGCATGCAGTAAGCTGTTACAGCCCTGACACCCACGGCGATGCAGGCCACGCATCTGTCGCCGTCCTCTGTGACATAAAGCTAAAGCCTAGTGTATACTCGCACTAAACTTGCGGTGGCCCTCGTGACTTTACCTGGTGTCACATGACCAACGCAAGGACCACCGTAGGCACCCATGCACCCACGGATTTTTTGAACTAATGTACTAAAATAGTAACTGTTTCCAACAAGAACTGAGTCTTTATTCACAGCATCACAGTTGAAGTGAGTTATAAAACAATGAGTCCATAGAACTATCACATAAACCTACACTAGATACGCATGTAACGAACTCAAATAGCTCGGTTTGCTTATGTTTTTGTTCTGAAGAGGAGAAATTAGCTAGCGTAAATAGGACTGCTTTGGTTTCTCAGGCAACTCCTTTGAGATCGCCATCACGTGGTTACGGAAGCGCTCCTCCGTGAACACATACTGCTGTTTTTTAGTAAAAGTAAGTCTCTGGAAGGTCTCTGGACACAGAGGCGCTGCAGAGCTGCATCATTGGAAAAGAACTTTACACAAAAAGCTGCTAGCTTAACTCCGTTAGCATCAAAGTCCGACTGCTACGTCCGCCACTTCCAGCAGGCGCCACCGCAGCCCAGGATTTCTGGTCTGAAGACCCCGGCGTCTGAAAATTACAGAATGTGCGTTTAGTGCAAGAGACGTCAGCGTCAGCGGTCTAAACGCGCCTTTAGACCTGGTGGGGGCCTGGAGCCTCGGTCGTTCCCTGTGGCAACGGGCGGCTCTCTGCTCCTGGTGCAGACGGCTCCTTGGATGTCACTTCTTCAGCTGATTGCCCTGCCAAGTCTCTCTTCATGGTTTTACTATTTTGTGTGTGTGTGTGTGTGTGTGTATGAAAAGCGCTTTATAAATTAAATTTGATTGATTGATTATAATTCTTGATTGTACCTAATATATCCTGCATTTAACATGTTTGCACATTTCTTTCTTTTGCACAATCTTGAGTGTTTCTATCCATGCCAGATGTGACATGTAAATTTCTCCTGAGTGAGATCAATAAAGTCTATCTTATTTTATCTTAATACAGTGCCTTGCGAAAGTATTGACCTTTCAACATTTTGCCACATTTCAGGCTTCAAACATAAAGATATAAAAATTTAATTTTTTCTCAAGAATCAACAAGTGGGACACAATCGCAAAGTGGAACGAAATTTATTGGATAATTTAATCTTTTTTAACAAATAAAAACTGAAAAGTGGGGCGTGCAATATTATTCGGCCCCCTTGCGCTAATACTTTGTAGCGCCACCTTTTGCTGCAATTACAGCTGCAAGTCGCTTGGGGTATGTCTCTATCAGTTTTGCACATCGAGAGACTGGAATTCTTGCCCATTCTTCCTTGCAAAACAGCTCGAGCTCAGTGAGGTTGGATGGAGAGCGTTTGTGAACAGCAGTCTTCAGCTCTTTCCACAGATTCTCGATTGGATTCAGGTCTGGACTTTGACTTGGCCATTCTAACACCTGGATACGTCTATTTGTGAACCATTCCATTGTAGATTTGGCTTTATGTTTTGGATCATTGTCCTGTTGGAAGATAAATCTCCGTCCCAGTCTCAGGTCTTTTGCAGACTCCAACAGGTTTTCTTCCAGAATGGTCCTGTATTTGGCTCCATCCATCTTCCCATCAATTTTAGCCATCTTCCCTGTCCCTGCTGAAGAAAAGCAGGCCCAAACCATGATGCTGCCACCACCATGTTTGACAGTGGGGATGGTGTGTTCAGGGTGATGAGCTGTGTTGCTTTTACGCCAAACATATCGTTTTGCATTGTGGCCAAAAAGTTCGATTTTGGTTTCATCTGACCAGAGCACCTTCTTCCACATGTTTGGTGTGTCTCCCAGGTGGCTTGTGGCAAACTTTAAACAAGACTTTTTATGGATATCTTTGAGAAATTACTTTCTTCTTGCCACTCTTCCATAAAGGCCAGATTTGTGCAGTGCACAACTGATTGTTGTCCTATGGACAGACTCTCCCACCTCAGCTGTAGTTATCTGCAGTTCATCCAGAGTGATCATGGGCCTCTTGGCTGCATCTCTGATCAGTCTTCTCCTTGTTTGAGATGGAAGTTTGGAGGGACGGCCGGGTCTTGGTAGATTTGCAGTGGTCTGATACTCCTTCCATTTCAATATAATTGCTTGCACAGTGCTCCTTGAGATGTTTAAAGCTTGGGAAATCTTTTTGTATCCAAATCCGGCTTTAAACTTCTCCACAACAGTATCTCGGACCTGCCTGGTGTGTTCCTTTGTCTTCATGGTTCTCTCTGCGCTTTAAACAGAACCCTGAGACTATCAAAGAGCAGGTGCATTTATACGGAGACTTGATTACACACAGGTGCATTCTATTTATCATCATCAGTCATTTAGGACAACATTGGATCATTCAAAGATCCTCACTGAACTTCTGGAGTGAGTTTGCTGCACTGAAAGTAAAGGGGCCAAATAATATTGCACGCCCCACTTTTCAGTTTTTTATTTGTTAAAAAAGTTTAAATTATCCAATAAATTTCGTTCCATTTCACGATTGTGTCCCACTTGTTGATTCATGACAAAAAAATTAAATTATATATCTTTGTTTGAAGCCTGAAATGTGGCGAAATGTTGAAAGGTTCAAGGGGGCCGAATACTTTCGCAAGGCACTGTAACTATGAACTGTGTCTTTATTCAGAGCATCACAGTTGAAATTAGTTATGAAACAATGAGTCCATTAAACTGTCACTGTGTTTTTTGTTCTGAAGAGGAGAAAGAAGCTAGGGTATAAATGGGACCGCTTTGGTGTCGCAGGCAACCCCTGTGAGATCGCCATCATGTGGTTGTGTTTTGGGATTACAACATTTTCTTCAAAAGTACACAGACAGGCCTAGACTCAGGCAAGATGTCGATTGATTCGTGCATTGAAGATATCCTAATACTTAGATCGAAGTCTCTCTTAGGCAAGCTGTTAAAGAAAAGAGGGACTTTTGGTGCAGGACTATATGGGACTGACCTACGCCAGGACGTCAAGCTGATTGGAGCGGTTGATCGTTTGATGTTCTCAGGGCGGGAAGCTGTGTTGATGAGAGATATGGCTGAAGAAGCAACATATGAAACTGAACCTATGAGCACTGCTGCAATTCCTTTGATTAGTGAAGTGCTGTCTATTATTATTGATAATAATTAATACATCATGTTTGTTTTACCTGGGTGGGTTGCACATTTATACATATCATGGGCAGTGAAGTATTGAGTTCCGCATTAACCTTTTCCTCTTAATGCAAGGGCGTAGGTTTGCGTGGGGACCATGGTGGGGACTAAAAAGTCCCCACCAAAATGACATGATGTCCCGTGACCCGGACGGTCCGGGACACATGTCTTCCGTTTGTGCACACGTCGCGCCCAAGCCCCGGCGATCCAAGATGGCGCCCTGTTCAAATGAATGGTTGTGCTCAGTGGCGCTTTGTGACGGCATGGGGGCTGAAAGATTAGCGGAAGTTGCCTGAAACTCGCAAAGATCTATGGGAAACTCGCCTGTATTTGGGCATCGTCTGGTCCTCCCGGTTCTGCGCAGTAAATGATCTCCCATAATGCGTTGCGCCAAACACGCGTGTGTGGGTCTCACACCGGGTCTCACGCACGTGCACAGAGGGGCTCGGCCGCGTTCTGACCAATCAGAGCAGTTCATCAGAGCGGGAGTTAGAGCGAGAGCCAGAGGAGCAGAGTTTGTGGCACTAAAGTGTGGATTTAAACAAAACCGAAGGATTTAAGAAGAAAAAAAGTTCAGGATGACAAGGGACACTAAAATCCCCACAAAATCCGATCTTTATTAAAGCTGTAGGTTCTCTGTCAGCTGAGGTTGAGCTGTTTTAATATGCATTGAGTTCTATGGGGGAAATTTCTGGGTAGTGTTGGAATATTGAACTCCTGGACCAGTTAAAATTAAAATCAGTTTAGTATTGTTTCTGTTGCCAAATTAGCACTTGTTTGTGTAAATCTCAAAGAGCAGTGAGTTCAAGGTTAGTCTGTGTGAGAATGGGAGGGGGACAAGAGGGAGACAAGTGGTTATCAGAGCAGGTGCAGGCTTTGGCAGCTGGCCAGAAGAAGTCATAGAGTCCACGAATCTGTGATGTCAGTGACCTTGGATGTACAGTATAAAAGATGTACAGGAGGAGGCACGGGGGCTTTTTCTTTTTCTTCTGACAAGGAGCAGTGAGACGTCCCCGGGGGCCACTCCTTATCTTGGACGCGAAGCGAGACTTGTGTTCGCAGACCGTTAATATTGTAATATTGCTTGCAAAATCTTCAATATAACCTTTTGAAATCAGGTTTGGTATCTGTCATTTCTATTACTGTTTTAACATTGGTTTTTGTCTCTTGTTGAACTAAAAGGACCTGCAGAACGAAGGGCTGTGTTTGCGGCCTCTCTGCAGCTTCTGGGGCTGGGGAATTCTGACAAATTACTGCAGAACTTGGCGTCGCTCGAACAGGATTCGACAGGAGACACTAGGACCGGTCAGAGAAAAGATTAATTTGGCGCCAAAGTAAAACGGTAAGATTGTTACCAACTAATTAATCTTTCCTTTCACCTGACCTGAGACCTAAAAATAAAAAACAAACAAACAAAAGTAGGGTAAATATTGAAGGATTTGCTTGCAAGTATTTTATATTTATTGGGATAATAGTATTCAAGTCTAAGTGACTTAAGAAAAGGAGAAAAACTGTGTGTTATCTCAGTGATTGATAGTCAACCTAAAAGCAGAAGAGCTGTGTGAGGATCTAAGTGATTTATGAGTTAAAGGAGTCAACTGTGTGTTATCTCAGTGATTTAATAGTTGAAGGAGAAAACTGTGTGTTTTAATTAATTGACAATAAGGGAAAGGACAGGGACAGTGTCTAACTTTTCTCACTTTTTAATTTTTCTCTTGGTGTGAATGAGTGATTGATGTTTTCTGTTGAAAGTGACCATTGCACAAACGGT